GCAGCATTTGCGCAAATAAATCACAATTTGAATATTTTTTTGGGATGCTACAAGTGCGTTTTTGGGGTCTGCCCGCGGTGGTTGACAAATGACCCAGGCGTAACCCCTTGCTATCTATCGCGCCGTACCGTACCTTTTTCCTCAAAAATTATTTGTCTCCGGTTCAATGCCCTGGAAGGCGTCCCCAACGACTGGCCATGGATGATAAATTGAACGCAAGGCGAACGTGACAACGACCAAAAAAGTGAAAGCATCGGAAACGGAGAGAAAATACTAGCCAAGGAATGGACCAGGGACCTGGCACCAGCCACTAGCCAACAGCCAGTTTTGGCAACCTTTACCTCAGTCGCCTGGGGATTGGCAGCAGCAGCCAGCCCCAGAGTTCACTGCACGGATTGGTGCATGTAAACATGCCATACGGGATCAAGATATATCATCAGTAGGAGGAAAAGACCATGAGAAGGCAGTGCCTGCCTCTGAGAAGCCCAGTGTGGCATCCACCAAACCACATTCGATGAAACTTTCATATCTCCCCAACGAAGGGCGTAACTTGAACTGCCGACTCTTTAAATTCAATTGTCATTTGCAGCGATTTGATGTCTCTAATTAGACACAAACACATTGGGGTTGAGTGCCCGACCATTACGCACTTTCGCGACACATGAGAATTTAATTGGCAGGCAAGCAGCATACATGTGGCATGTCATTGGTCAGCATCATTTTCTGTAACTGAAGATGGGGTCTGTGGCGGTCAGGCTGCAATATCTTTGCCACTCTCTATTGGCCGGGGTGAGGGGCGCCAAAGAAAGCGAAAAGCAACGCATAATAAACGTTAACGGTAATAGTAATGAGAAAATGCTTATACACGATCCACTGAACTCCACACGTAGCTCTCTGTCATAGCTGTATATATCTATCTATCTATCTATCTATCTATAATCTTTCTCTGGCTAAAGACAGCCTCTGCACTGCCTCTGGCTGTGGCATTAACGGCGTTGTGGCCCTTTGCCTGAGAAATCAATATTTTAACACATGAAAACTGTAAGTGAAAAAATGGGTGTTAACCCATTGATTGGTCTGACATACCGCCAATTGGGAGTGCCACGCGACAGTTGTAGAAAATGCAAGTGCATTTTTCTTCGCAGCACCCAAAGCAGGCCTAGCGCTTAACTAAATTGTTAGCCGATTAAATGAAAATCAACAACAAAAACAAAATATTGGCTCGTGACTGTCGGGCCGGAGCGGATGTCCAGCTGGATGGACTTGACTCTTGCACAGGAGATGCGGAAAGCTGTCGGCTTATCGCGCCCGTCAGCACTGATCCCATATAAAAGTTAATTAGCGTGAGATTTGTGCGAGCGGCCGGCGGTAAACTTTGATTAACGTCAATGTAGCGTCAAGACAAGCGATAAAAGCCAGCTACAGCTATGAAAAGTAAATAAAAACCGCACACACACTCGCAGGTATTTTCTTTTCGCTTTCTTTTGTTTGGGAAAATTGCAATTTTTATTGCACAAAAAGCTGGGCTGTGAACAAACCCCCTGCGGCATGAAATAGAAATAGAAAGTTAGATGCGGCCACAGGCGAGGGTCGGGTCAGTTCGGGTTCTAGCCGGAAAAACCGAAAGTTAATTGGCCCCTCAGTTCGCGTTGGCAGCATTTAACCCGTCAAAGGTTTTCGCACTCCGCTACGCTCAAGAATTTAGAACAATCTGTTGTTGTTTTTGTTGTTGTTTCTCTGGTTAGCTGTTGGTTTTTTACTTTCTCTGCCTGTAAGCTGAAAAATTTCACACACACTTAAGCCGCAACAACTTCCATCCGAGCCAAGTGCAGCTGTGGTTGCAGCCGCTGCTGTGGATGTTGCTGTTTAATAAAGCGCAATTCTTCTTTTAATTTTGCGATGCCTAATCGCTGTGGCTATGTTTATTTATTTTTAGAGGGTACACTACATCTTACCGGACGTTTGAAACACGCAAGGATCAAAGTATTTATAAAGTTCTCAGACCTCAGACTCAATCTTAGCAGGTGATTATTTCAGAGGGTGATGTTAAAAATGGCAATGATAAATATTGTTAAATATTGTATATATATTGATATTGATTTGTATTTTATTTATTATTTCTTACTTATCTTTTTTTTATTTTATTTTTAATTTTTAGTCTGTCACGCTGAAAGCGTATGTAAAGCTTCGGCCAAGAAGCCAGCTAGTTTTCTCATGTTTTTATTTTGTTTGTCTCGACCGCAAAGTGGCACGGAAAAACTGTGTGGAAAATCTTTCGGCCCAGAGAAAAGTGCAAGGCGTGGCAAATGACGACGGGGACAGACAGAGACAGAGAGCGCCTTGGCCGCGGGGCTGAGGAGGCAGACAATGGAGCTCTTGGGGCTGCCACTTCTGTTGTGGCTGCTGCTGCTGCTGTTGTCGCATGGCCTTGCCCGAGGAAACCACAGAGGAAGAAAACAATTGAAATTGTTTCACATGCGCTTGAGCAGCTCAAGAGATGGCTGGTTGATATGGATACATGTTTGCCTTTTATAAAGTATGTACATACTGCAGAAGCTCTGTTGCACAGACCAGACCCGTGGGGGCACGGACGCGGATGTTTTCGGCTGTTGTTGCTGTTGTGCAGCGGCTGCACCCGCATAATAAAAAGAAAAATCTTGCGTTTGGGTCCATTGTGTGCAAAGGTAGTCGTCGGGGGCATGGATAATGCGCACCTTGACGGACATTTTGACAGGTCGACTAAGAAATGCAACACAAACAATGATGCTCTCTGGACGACATATGTAGTTCAGAGTGTGGAAATGGGTAGTGCGAAGAGAGAAAATTTTATTTGGAAATGTCCAATAATATGAATGATGGATTTAAATATCCACAAGCGAGGATATTTCATGTTGGAAACAGCTGTTACTCTCTTTTATATTACCTATTTCAAAGGCATTATATTCAAAAGAATTTCACCGCAAATTGGGGGCTGGGGAACTTAAATTGTACTACAAAATATTCCTGACTTAATCGGATACAAACTAAACGAATTTTCTTTTGAAATATGTACTTGTACAATTTATAATCCCTTTTAATGAACTTATTTTTCCTCCACTTTCAGGTTCACTGCCTCCTGTCAGAGTCCAGAAATTTTTCCTTTGGTTTGTGGCATTTATGATGCCACCCCTGCGCGTAGAGGTTTTTCATTGCTCATCAAGCGATACCTAAACGAAAAAAAAGCTGCACGTAAATACTTGCCACCGAAACTGAACCCAAGTTTTTCTTGGCCTTAGATTGATGGCCATTGCTCCCTGCCTCTGACTGTGCCCCTATCCCGGACACTGTCCCATGGGCCGCTGGGCAGTGAAAGTGGCGTGAAAAAGGCGGCGATCGAAGAAATCTAAATTAGTGGCCCAGAAAGCTGAGGGCAGGCTCCAGGGGAAAAAGATACTTTGCCAAAGTGCCCGAGATTAAAAGTGTGATGTTGTGGCATGCCACAGGCAGGGCAACCATCCAGTAGCCACCTCGTCCATTAGTCGGAAATCTCTGTTGCCGGCGGGGCATTAATTTGCCTGTTTATTAGTTGAAAATTGGCCCTTAGCCTTGGGCTGGGCCACATGGAGCATGGCTCATATCCCTTTTCTCAGTTATCTGCCCAAACGTGCCACATAAACTAATCCACTGGACGGCAGTTGACTAAGCGAAAGCTTCATTCAGAATTCCGACAAATGCATTTTCCCGGGGTTTCTTTTTTATTTTTTTTGCTGAATAAACCACAAAAACCACGAGCATGTATGCAAGTGACAGCTTTCTTTCCGTTTGAAGTAAAAGCCATACGTTCTATCTGATGGATAGTCCCAGTGCTAGTACTAGATACAAGGCCACATGTTATTGCATTGACAAGTCATTGGCCTGGCCCTGGCCCTGGCTATTGCTCCATTATATGCAAATCAACGTTGTGGGACCTACATTGCATTGGCCTCCCGTGGCGGATGGGCCGTTAACACCCACTCGGACGATGCAGCCCCAGGCATTTGCATAATAAAAAAGAAATGGCCATTTACAAATGTGTAGTAGCCAATGACTTTCTTTATGGCTAAAACCGAAATGGCGAAAATTGCTAAATGCCAAATTGAAATTAAAGTGTCAACGGCAACGGCGACGCCAACGGCAGCAGCACTGCCCCTGGCACTGGCACTGGCTGCAGCAGCGGGATCAGCAATGGCAATGGCAGTGCCGATGGGCAAAACGGCAGCCAGTTGCAGAAATAGTCTCAAAACTCCACAAAAAAGCGAACTCCTACCAAAAACCACTAATGCAACTAATATGTTTGGCCATAAACATCGAAAGCGATGCGATGGCTGGCTGGAAAAACTAGTCGAAACTCGTTGGAAATGCTGTTGGACTTCGCCTTCGCATTCGTCTTTCTGGCTGCCAGTCTGCCTGTCTCCTTGCCTCTGTCTCTACCTGGCCTGCTGCTGCTGCTGCTGCTGGGCTCTGGTTCATTGAGGAGACTGCGACTGCGACTACGACTACGACTACGACTACGGTAATGATCATTAAGCCACCGCATAGCACATATTCCCAGCAGTGGAAATTGGCAACCAAGCACGAGCTGCAGCTCAGCTCGGACGAAGCGCAGCCGCCACGAAGAGAGGCCACGAAGCCGGCAACGAGTACGAAGAAAATCAAATTGTGATTAAGTCTCGGTGCTGTGTGACGCTTCGCAGCGGCTGTGTCTGGCTGGGGCGAAAGAAAGAAAGGTCTATAAAAGAATAAAGCGCGCCAAGGCTGGGCATCAGTTTGATTTGAACTAGCAGCCAGTGCAAGACTAGACGAGAGCTCCTGGCCACCAGCTACCAGCTAACAGCGCAGCTGCAGCTTCCAGTCACTCCTCCAACTCTTAAGCCTTAGAGCTAGCTCCAAGGATTAACTAAGCAAGCAAGCACCTGTGTGTCGCGTCGTGTGCCGCGTGTCGTGTTGGTTGTGAAGTGTGCAAGAAGTGAACAGTGAACAGAATGACATTCAAGCAAAGGCATCTGCATCCGCTGAGCCTGCTCACCCTGTGCCTGTGCCTCGCCAGCAGATGCGAGGCGGGCACCGAGCAGATCAGCAATTTGTCAGCCGCTGGCGGCAGTGGCACCACTCAGAGTGCCGGCGCACGCACCTTGCTGCGCGTTTACGATGAGTGCACCCGTGCCGAGGCCGGATTCGTGCCATGCCTGAAGAAGAAGGCCATCTCCTTCATAGATCGTCTTGCCCCCATCGATGCCATAAACGTGGCCGACGGCATCAAGCTGGTGCGCCTGGAGTCGGCCCCACGTCCCGCCGTCGCCACCAGTGAGAACGAGCTGGAATCCTCGCTGCCTCGCTCCGGCAGTGACCGCGACGCCAAGCTGACGAACATGCTCACCGAGCGCCTCAGTTACTTCTTTAATGGCCATTCGCTGCAGGTCAGCTTCCCCAAGCTGACATCCGATGAGATTGGACGCGGGCTCGAGGAAGGTAAGACGAATGGAAGCCTGAGCATGAGCATCACTTTCTGTGGGCGGTCTAATTACTGTTACCGCTCAATACCCTAGTATCCATTGCGCGTAACAGTGACATAATTTGACTCTGGCTCTGACTCTGGCTCTGACTCTGCCTGTGGCTGAAGCTGTGGCTGTAAAAAAGCCAGCTTTAGTAATTGCTGGCTCCACGGGAGGTGATTATTAGAGCCGAGAGCCCCATGATAATGCCTTAAAGTATAGTATCGTTGCCAATGACATTGGCAACTGCATTGGCAACGGCTGCAACCGCTGGCTGGCCCACTTCCTTGCTTATCATTGTATGCTGGCATTGGCATTGTATTGTATGTTAAGAGGGTCGGGTGGGGGGATACCATCTTAGTTGCCTCTGGGAAAATGCGCAATTGTTTCTATTTTCCTCGTTTTATAACGCACACACGAGAGAAACCCGTTCGGCAACTGGGGAATGACCCAGAAACCTTAGCAACGACTTCGACAGCAGACAGACAGTAGCAGTAGCGACAGCGATGACAAAAATGTCAAGCCAGAATTTCGTGTTGTCCAAAAAAAAAACGACAAAATAAACATGACTTGCGAAGAAACTTTGGCATTGAACAACGAAAATTCAATGCTCTTTAAAGATCACAACTAGAAGAGATTCCTTCATCTCAAAAATCGCTTTGGCTACCCAAAAAAAAAAAATATTCTACATTTTCCCATAAAGATGTGTTTCGTTGAGGACCACTTTCATTAAACCTTACCAAAACTTAAGGCAAAGAAGCTATGCCCTTTCGGGGTGGCAGTGTATGGAAAATACGATGAGCAAAAACTAAGCCACGCTTGGATGTCATGACCATGTCAAATGGAATGAAAGTGCTCGACCACGTTTCTCTTGGGCCATGTACAACTCGACTCCTCGACCAGGCCATGCCGTACATTTCCATTCCCATTGGCATCTTGGAATTTCCATTTTATTTCCATTTTAAGCTGCCATTTCAGCGGCTCGGCTCTTGCATCAATTACAAATTTGACACGAGCACTTAGAGCTGCATGCTTCATGCTGCATCCACATTCAAGATTTTATCCATTGCAATGAAAAGTGAACTTACTTTCACGCCACATGAATTTTTTTCTATTACTTTCAAATCATTGATCAATATCTATTAATCGATACGCGGCCGAGTACAAGTTGGCCAACACTTTCCCAAATGGCAAGACCGAAACCATTTTTGGCTAATAGCAATCGTACCGATTGGAGCCTGACGAAAGCTGGTTATGACAGCGGCAGTGCGACATCATCTCATCTGTCTGCTGGGCCGCATTAGCACGGACACTTGGCCGTCTCCATTTTCCGTCTCATTTCCACGGCCATATGCAATTTTCCCCTGCAATCAGGTGAAATCGAATGGAGTGTCCCTAATGACGGCAGCAAAATGAAAGCCACACACGCTGCCACAGTCCCAGTGCTGCACTGTGCCGCAGTGCGCCAGCTGCCCAAACGAAATACCACAGCGCAAGCTCCCAGTATCTGGGAAAATATTCTCACACAGCCTTTGGTAATTGAGCTGCTACCACTTTCACCATCTTGGGAGTCAGTCTCTGCCGCAGTAGGAGTCGGAGTCGAGCTCGGAGACGAGGTTGAGGTCTGAGCCGCACTAGGAAAAGGAAAATTATTAAAGACAAATACATTTCTTTTTCTTCGCAGGTCGCGGCAAAATGAAGAAGATGATGGGCATGATGATGATGGGCATGGCCATGAAAATGATGGGCATGATCCCCATTGCCATGGGCGCCCTATACATACTGGCTGGCAAGGCTCTGATCATCTCGAAGATTGCCCTGCTGCTGGCTGGTATCATTGGCCTGAAGAAGCTCATGTCGGGCAAATCGTCGGGCGGTGGCAGCTCTGGATGGTCGTCGGGTGGCGGCGGCGGCGGTGGGGGCGGTGGCTGGTCATCGGGTGGCGGTGGAGGCGGCGGCGGTGGTTGGGACAGGCGCTCCCTCAACGAGGCCCAAGAAATGGCGTACCGCGCCCACAAAGAGCAATTGGCGCATCCACAGTTATACCATCAGCAACAGCAGCAGCAGCAGCTGCAGCCGCTGCATCCGAAGTCGGCGGCGCCACAGGTGACCAAGTCATAGGACGATCGTATGATAGAAACACAATCTAGGGGGCTTCTAGGGGATAGCTGCATTTATCTTGTGGATAAATTACAAGCAGACGGGCGCCAAGGCACACAGATTGTAATTACGCGTACATAGATATATATATACTATATATACATATATATACATATATTAACTCTCTTTTTGCACTTGCACTCGGGCAGAAGACAAGAAGACTTGATGCATTTCCAACGGTTAACTCTCCTCCCAGTGGCACCTATGGATACATCGCCTGAAATGTATCTAGAACGTGCGTTCCCACTGTGGCCGCAATGCAGTTCTTTGCACACTTTTTAATGATTAGTATTTGCTTTAAATCGATTATGTTTTGTTGGTAATATGTAGCGCACTCTTCACTGCTCTCTGCTCTTTCCTCTCTCCTCTCCTCTCCTCTCTTCCCTATTCTATTCTGTTCCGCTCTGATCTGGTCTGACATGCTCTGCACCATTTCCCCCTTTCTCTGCATTTGCATTTACTGTTAACCATCTTCCAGAGCTCTGAACTCTGCCTGTGCCTCTGCCTCTGCATCTGTACTCTGTACTCTGTATGGTATATCTTTCTTTCCTACATTTCTCACTGCTAACTGCACTTTTCAATTACATCTCGTACTTCCGCCTATACTCCATTTGCAGCTAACTTACAGTACATCTCTATCATCTCATTCTGGCAGCGCGCACACATTAATCTTAACTTGTCTCTAACTGTATGTAGTGTCTAAGTGTAATAATTTATTTATTTAACTTATTTATTTGGTAGCGCGTAAGTGTAAATCGCATGTAAGCAGCAAAGTTTGTAAGAAACATAAAAGTTAAAAAAAATATATATACAAATATCTAATAAATAATTTCCACTCAAATCATGTCATAGCATTAGCACGCGCACTTTAAGGCTGAAGGTTAAAGGTAAAGTGTAAAGTGCCATCCCCGTCTACTTCCGAAGTACTACTTCCGTTCCTCGAGTTTGCCCTATAAAACATGTGCACGCATGTATCCGGGCACATATCCGACATCCATAAACTCCACTCCACAGTGTGTGAGGTTGTCCCTGGATGTTTGTCCTATTTTCGGTAGCCTTATGGCCCACGTTTATGGCTCTTTCTGTCTTGTTGCTGTCTGCTCCCCTGCGATTGCCAGAGATTTAAGCCGAGATACAAGATGGATCAAAGTTCAACTGTGTAAACATTTCCAAGACCAAGCCAAGTCAGAGAAAGTCATGGAGAAATGTTTGATTCAACAAGAAGTAAGTACGAGTATTCTCCCTCTGGACTTCATCAGAATTGGGCAAAAGCCTGAGTACAACATTCGAGCTGCTGCTGTCTGCCTGCAAGCGAACAGAACACATTCGACTAAGCTAAATGAATCATCAGCCAAGTAGTCTGGCTCATGTCTGTATTCTGTAGTCGTATGTTAAACAAAATCATGGTCTTTCGACATATAGTCAAATAATATCGATTAAAAACCAACGCTTTGAATACACACATTTGTCTTCGGGGTTGGCCATTGGCCATAAATATAATAGCAATTAAAGTTTTCCAGGATAAAACACACACAGCGTCTAAAACAAACACTTAGCAGATAATTAAATCAACTTTAAATCAGTATACGGCTTTTATTTTACTTGTATTAATATTATCTATTATAATAATACAATACTCGTATAATAAAGCGGTGCTAAAATTTTAGTCTGAATTTATTATCGCCATTAATTGAAGGAAAAAAACCTGAATTTTAATGGATAGTCTTCTAATCATCTCAACCAATTTGGAAAGAGCCAACCCTAGTTAAAATATTTGAGAAATTAATTAATGTAACTCTGATAATAATGTTACAAGTATGAACCCCAAAACTTAATGAATAAATAATATTTAACCAGATTTATAAGGTCAAAGAAATGTGTTTGCTTAAATTATCTGTCGTATCTATTGACTTTTGCTTTTATTGGATAGAAGTCGCGCAGTCTACAGAAAATCTCAAACTAGTTTTCGCTAATTTGGGATTTTGGTCGGTCTTTTTTGTAGGAGATTTGAAAGGTACGGGTAAACGAGTTTTATCTGGATTACAGCTAAATGGAACGGAACTCTGAGAATTGGGGAACCATTGGGTAAGGTGTTTACTTCTTCTTCCACCATCCGGACTGACTGCCGTACCCGCCGCCGTAGCTACTGCCATAATTTGCTGCATACCCTCCGCCGTATCCTCCGCTGTATCCTCCGCCGTATCCTCCGCTGTGTCCACCCCCATGAGTGGTTGTAATGACCTTGTAGACATCCACATGAGAATGGCCACCTCCGTAGCCGCCTCCATAACCACCTCCGTAGCCACCTCCGTAACCACCTCCGTAACCACCTCCGTAACCACCTCCGTAACCACCTCCTCCATTGCTGTAGCCGCTGCCGTATCCGCCTGAGCTGTAGCCCCCACCGCCTCCATGGCCACCCTCATAGGTGTTGATCACTTTGACTATTTGGACACCACCGCCGCCGCCACTGTTGTAGCCACCGCCGTATCCTGCTCCGTATCCACCGCCATACCCAGAGCCTCCACCATAGCCGGAGCCCCCACTGTAGCCCCCGCCGCTGCCGCCTCCTCCCTTCAGCAGACCCAGCAGTCCTGCGTTTGTGGTTGACAGAATGGCGGCCAGCGCCAAGACACATACAAATAACTATGCAGGACGAAATGGATTTGGTTAAAATTTAGTGTATGCTTTGAAACCGCATCCTTCAAAACTCACTTTCATTGTAGACCCCGAGCGAATGCCAACGAAGCGCAAGTAGAACTAATGCCAAATGCCAAACGCTTTTCGGTTTAATAGTCGTAGTCCAAAGCAGCTTGACCAACCACCAACCACAATAAAGGTGTTTTTTTTGTGAACGATTAAATGTCGCACACACTCCGCCGACAAGGCAAGGCCTTTGAGTCAGCAAAGTGGCTTTTGTGGATTAAGCCAGCCCCACTGCAGCGCCTTGGGGGTGTCTGTTTGGCCCGGTCCCAGACTGTACGAAATTTAATTTATGATTTCCATTATGCCCGGGGCGTAGGAAGAGTTCTGATTTCTGAACTAGTTTTATTTAGCATAGAGCCAGCTCCAGATGAAATCGAAGTGATGCACAGACAATGAGACAGCATAAAGTAGTCGTAGAAAAGCAACTGAAAGTCGCTCCACAAGGCAAAAACTGCAAGACGGGGGAGGCAGGCACGAGGGGCGCGGCTAGTGCGAGTTGTTAGCTCATCAAATCATCAGCCAGCCAGCAGCAAAAGCAGCCAGCACATGCAAATGTTAGGTAATAAAAAATAAATGGTTGAAGTGGCTTAAGTTTTAGCTTGATTCATGTTTGCTGTATGGTGGACCCAACCAATCTATTTGATCTTTGAATAGCCCTGACAAAACAACACGAAAAAAACCCAGTGAAATACGGGTTTTAGTGCAGTGAAAGAGTCTTGTACTGACCAGCAGTCCACCCATGGCTGAGCTTCTATTAGGATTCTATGCTCTCTTAATGCCAGCTCCTTCAGCCACAATCAATCATAGCCAGCTGCTAATGGCCATGGAACGAAAGCAATTTCAATTCAGAAGAGCTGCAATTCGAGTCTGCCATTATCAATGCCTGCGGAAAGACTTCTATTATCGTGGTCTCGGTCTATCACTTACTGATGTAAGCTTCCTCCATCCATCATTCTGGTCATATAATAGAAAAACAAAGCCAATAGCAATACGAATAAGCCATGCTTTCAGCATCCATAAGTCTTCTGGGTATGAGATGCATTTCTTACGAATCCAATAAACGCCTACGCATGTCTGTAAGCCTCACAAAGAAACTATAATCCAACACATGCAAGGCGTTACACTCAGAGAACACACTTATATTTGAATTAAATATTCGGTTTTAAAATACAAACATAGTGAAATTAAATTCACTTTCATTTAAGAACAGAGAAATTAAAAAGCTTAGTGCTCCCCATATACACATAAGTAATCTAACTGTAAAATACTTGAATATATAATATATTAAATTCATATCAAATATTTGTATATTAGAGGAAAAGGTAACACCTCCGAGAAAATCTATTGGTATACAATTATGGGGCATTTTTTGTGCCACATACTGGCATTTTGTAATCCTTATAAATAGACCTCGGATTTTGCATATTTATAAAGGATTAAGATAGAAAAGTTCTGATGACTCGTACTCGCAGCACCTCCGATCCTCCGATCCCCCAGCCAAGTGCTTTTCAAATATAGTCAAAGGAAATCAATTGAACAAAAATTAATAATGAGCCCACGACTATGCTGATGAATCAAATATGCAAAATCCGAGGTCTACTTATAAATTATTTAAATTCTGAAGTTTATAATAGAATTAATATTTTCAGTATAATTTCTTCACTGTTTTGCATGCCATGCCTAAAAGTACTGAAAGGTGAATGCTTATAAGACATGCTGAAAAGCTGTCCACGTTTTTTAGTTGCCTATACTCGTAAACCAGAAAAATGGCGCCCAAGAGTATGTTTTAGTTAAAAAAAAATATGCTGAGTGCAACATAACATATATTTTCGCAAGACCTGTAGTATGTACAGCTTTATGCTTCTGCACCTGTCCCCCACTTGTCGTGACCCATCAAGACCCATTAAGAGAGATTAAACGCACGCTGGGCACCTGATGTGCGTACCCAACTGAGTGAGATGTTGCACACATACAAGTGGTGGCACAAACAGTATAAGTGGGCCGCACCAGCTGGCGTTGCTGCCCCAGGGAACAGGGAAGAGGTGGCTGCTAGTTCAGAGAGCCCAATTAGCACGCACGGAGTCAAAATTACACGAATTTACCCATTGGGCACACTTTCCCAGGGCTGAGAGATGGACATCTGAACATATAAAGATAGATATAGAATGCCATTTGGTGCAAGGCTGTTAGTTGGCCTCGTGCCGTTGAACGTGCAACAGGGCAACAGGGCAACGATGCAGAAAAGTGAAACTATTAAGCCCAGTCAGAGTCAGAGTACCATCATCAGCAAACAAGTGAGGCATTGTTTTTGTAATTAAAATGGCAACGCTTCAATGGCCAAGGCAGCAGCACGTGGAGCACACTGCATGAAGCATCGAACTGTCAAGCAAGCCCAGTACTCCAATGGGAGGTGGCAAGTTCTCTCCATTTAATCGTGTTACGCCTGACAGATTATGTGTGAGTAAGTGTGTGGTAAAAGTCTTTCTTGAATGTGAAAATCTTGAATCGACTAAGTAGGCGATCATTTGAGCGCTTGACCACAAGCCAAAAGCCACAGTCGGAGTCCCAGCCACTTTTGGGGAAAGGCCGTAAAATCACTCAGCTAAAACGTCCATAAAATGTCGAATGGCTTGAAGAATTTGGCCTGCAAAGATCTGGAAACGCGAAGGCCCTCAGTTCGATTCTAGGCGGCGTCCGGAGTGCGTGTGTGAAAAGAGCAACAGGACTCAAAAACCCAGAAATGTGGCATCATCGAGCAGTGTTTGTGCTCGGCATTTATATGCTCGTAACAATAAACGCGTCGACAAGTAGCAACAGCAACAATCACTTTAATGACGGCACTTCCGGCATCCTTACGGCTCGAAATGGGAAACTACAGTTGGAGCTGAATGCGTGGCAGCCATTCACCCAGCACAACAATTGGCTTATCCTGCAGGCAACGGCACCCAGCTCAGTGCAGCCGGAAAGAGAGAGTGCCCCCAGAATTTTGACACAGCAGCAGCAAGAGCAGCAGCAGCAGCAGCAGCAAGAGCAGCACCAACGACTTCCTGTCAATTACTACGCCTACAATCATCGGTATAATCAGAGTGCGAGGAGTGGCATTTCACCTTCGGCGGGCGGAAATTACAAACAGGTTCGCGCACAGGCAGCACCAGCGACAACTCTAAGCGATCCCGCCAGATATGTCCTGGCCATAAGCCAATCCATGCGACGCGGGGGTGAACTTCGACATCAGCTGCCAGCTGCTGCGGAGGAGGAAGCCGAGCCGGATGTGCGCAATGCGGCGGCCTCAACTTTAACTAACTCCCACGCCCACGAAGCTGATGCTGATGATGATGAAGATGTGAAAGATACCGATGCCATTAAACACATTGAGAAGCCAACACTTCTGGGAATCCAATCCTACTTAGGGCCTTTCCAGCGTGCTCTGGTGACAGTGCGTAATTTTTGCGACTCTGTGGGTACTCTTCTCAGCGACATGGATGAGGAGCAGCAGGATGGGACGCTGCAGTTCCTGGCAGGTGGGTTTGGGTTTTCCAATGAATTTTCCTCATGATTAAGCGTGCGCTCGAGCACCTCAGGGATGCGGTCTGGGACTGACCGTTTAATTAACTGACTAACTAAAGCTTCTGTTCCGTTAATTTGCAGATGAGACAAGTTCAAATAAATTGGCGACCACCACAAGAACCATCACCTCCACAGCCAAAATATTGACTTCAAAAGAGGCGGATACAGCTACAGTCCAAGGCCGTTACAGCCACCATGTGGCATTGGACGCCTCAGAGGGCCGCAAGCTGAAAAAGTTGAAAAAGAAAATCCAAAAGCTGCTGCTGCCACTTCTGATTGCCTACAAACTGAAGTTCCTCACCCTCATACCCGTTCTCATTGGCGGCCTCACGCTACTCGTGGGCACCACGGGCCTGGCCGGCTTCTTCTTTGCTCTCTTTACGGCCGTAATGAGCCTGAAGACCACAGGTGGCGGTGTCGGCCATGGCTATGGCAGCAAAGCAATAGTCTTAAAGAAAATCTGATCTGTAGGCAACGTTTTGTACGAATTAAGATTTAGCTATTGATTTAGGTTAGTTAGCAGCACTCGGCACTCCCTTTCCCCTTATCACAATCAAAACCCATCGAAGCTCGAGCATTGATTGGTTTGCTCTGGCGGTGGGCTATAAAAAACACGAGGCGGAGACTTCCGTACTGTCAAGTGAAATAAAACTACCAGAAGTAATATATGACAAAAGAAACAGGAAAAGTCTTAGTCGCAATCGAAATAAAACTTCCCTCAGCTGGAACCAACAATTTGAAGCACTCTTTTTTAGGGAATTTACTTATTTATTTCATGCTATATCCCAATGCTGCAGGTTTAAACTCTAGTATTACTCAGTTCAGCTTTTAGATGGAAGGTATTGCCACTCGTAGACGTATACCCACGTCGCTACGGTGCGTGTGTGCGGCTATACCAGCAACCGGATGCAAAATAAATGTACTGCTAACATCCAACTAACGATAAATTCCGTTGAACAGCTGCCAAAACCCCATCCAGAGCCACAGCCAGAGACCCAAAGTTTGGGCACGAAAAGTGACGACAGCAAATAGCGTTAGCGTTAAAGTTGACGGTTGACGGTTGACGTTGACTACGATTAGTTCCGTGGCACGCGTGTGCATATGAATGCGTGTTTGGACACCATGTGAATATATAGCATCCCAGACGTAAAGCAGTATATAATACTATATATTGTAACAGTTACAGATACTCGAACCACCCAGTGGTTGAGGCTACATTCGCATTCGTTCAAGCCAAGATAAGTTCATTTGTCTCGTCTGGTTTCGGTCTCTTTCAGCCCAAAAATCCTAATTCAGTTGGGTCGTTATTTAATTTCCGTTAGCACTGCTGCAATCACATTTGCCTGATGTAATTCCAAGAAGTATATTTTGTTGCTGGAATTTAATTAAGCGGATTTATACACAAACAAACACAAGAGATGGTTTCATTTTACCGGAAATTTACATAAGCCCGTGTCGAGCTCATGAAAAACCTTTAATTTGAAGTTGATATTTGTTCACGACTGCTATTCATGGAAATGCGAAAATAATAAATGCAATTTTTAATGGAATTGCCATCGGTTCTGTCCGCTCCTCAAAATAACAATTAATTGGTAATTAATAATACATATTACAAAACCCCAAACCCCCAAAGATACTTTCTAGCAAGTAGGCTAATTTAAACAACAAAAACCATTTAATATAAAATAAAAACTTAAAAACCCCTAAAGAGATGCTCGTAATATTAATTTTTTTAAAATTTATTTTTATTTATTTAATACCAAAATTAATACGACTTCAATGAGTTCTATCAACTAGGCCTACGACTTGGCTGAATACATTTATTTGTATGCAATGTGAACCTTTTTGGACAATTTTGTTTAAGTGGCCTTGGTAATTAAATTAAAAATATATATTTGTCGTAGGTCTAGCGCAATCAACACTAATTATTCCAAACTTTGTCAGAACTCTTGCGTTCACAATGAATATAAGTTTTCGGGAATCCTTTCTGGAATATTAATGCATTCGAGACGTGATTTTATTTATAAATATTAGAAACCCCTCTGAGTGACTGAGGTAGTGAGTGAGTGAATGAAAGCTCACAGTTTAGAAATGGAAAAACGTTTTTAAGGGAAACTGCCTGCCACGATAATGAAGAGTTTTTACTTGTTGATGGCTGGGACAAGTGACCCATGACGAGTGTGGCGCATACAACCAAAGCAACGGCAACGGCAACGGCAATGGCAACAGCAATAGCAACATCGACTGATGTTTGCGGCAAGCCGTTCATTAAAGTAGGGAAAATTTAATGTGTCCGTTCACGCTCAAGTAAGACTAAATCGGAACCCCACGAGAGAGGGAAGAACGAAAGCAGCGAAACTGAACCGCAGTAGAACCAGAAGTAATAGCGGTACCAGTGGCCCCTCCATAGACCCATCGACCACCAAAAGAACCTGCCCACCGATTGCTAGTCTGAATAAAAGTCTGAAATGCAACCAAGTGCAACGACGAGAGTGGTGCTCCATTACCATTACCCGACTGCACTGGGCGCCCACTTTTGCTCAGTTGTTTGGGAGCTGTGCAACGGCGAAAACATGTTCAACATTGCGCTCGCAATTGCAATTTTCCATCTCCTGTCTGCGGTGTCCTTCAGCGTGGCGTACAGCCACCTGCCAACTGCCGTGCAGCTGGGCGGGGCCATCGTGGCGGCCGTGGAGCAGGATGCCGAGCAGGAAGCTGCCACCGAGGAGCACCATCGAGTGCAACGTGAGTGGATGCAGACTGCCGAGCTGCAGCTGCAGAAACTCCTCAACGACGAGTTGAGTGCCGAGGAGATGGGCAATATGCTGGATACGTGGATTACCGAAGGTGGGTTGAGTTGAGGATGTACTCATAGATATTTCCATGCTCTCAAGTGCTGGATGCTTCTCCACAGGTCGCGGCAAGCATCAGCACAAGAAGCAGCAGAAGAAGCTAGCCAAAATGCTGTATCCCGTGCTAGCCGCCGCAGCTGTGGCCAAAATCGTTCTGCTTCCCTTGGTCTTGAAGTGGCTGACGGCGCTGTCGACCTCATCATTCGTTATGGGAAAAATTGCATTGGCCACCTCCGGTATGCTGGCCTTAAAGTGGATCCTGTCCAGCGGGCATGCACGGGATCGCCTGGAGATTATCCATTCATCGGTCCCATCAATCAAGGGCTTGCACACGGCCCACGCCGCTGATGTTGCCCCCAGCGGCACCAGCTGGATGCCCATCCGGCCGCCCTACATTCCTTTGGGTGTGACCAAGGATGGCCCAACTTTTTACAAGCCATTTTTATAGACCGTTTCGCTCGGCGAGAATGAGAGTGAGAGTGCGATTTAGAGAGGTCTCTTTCTACTTTTAGCCCATAGACAAATAAGGCCACGTAACTCCCCGACTTCATCAGCATTTAATTAGCACATGCCTCGGCCCGCTCTGACGTTACGACGACCCATCGACCGCTCGACGGCTCTGCAGCGTGCCACAGAGCGCAGAAATTAACAGCACTGCGCACGGTGCCGTTATGCATATAACGGTTTATTGCGCATGCGCACAGGCCTCGATCGACCATCGACCACGGCCAAGACATCACTATCGTCGGCACTTCCGCAAGTGCGTGTGTTGCAATGAAAGCCGACCAACGGCAGGCACGGCCAGGGTTATGTAAAGACCAGAAAAGTCAACCAACAGGTTGTCACAAATCAATCAGCATGCAGCAGCGACAGGTGCTGGTGCGACTTGGGTGGGCCTTCGGTGTCGGTCACTGAAGGCATACGGTTAGTACCCACAAGATTGAAAGTAGGTATGAAGAACTTCTCCCATCCCTTCATCACATTTACATACATCCATTTTAAGTTTTATGTACATAACCGAAAAAAACGGCGTTTTATTTAAATCAGAGATCAGAAATTAGAGATATAAATTTAATAAAATCAGAGTTAAAAGTAACCTAGATACAGTTACACAATTAATATAGAGGTATACTGGAGAATAATACAATTTCAATTCAAATTTTGAAATAAATTGTTTAAAAACTCTTTCTTTTAACCATTATAATACACATCGTAATACAAAATAACTTTAAATTTTTATGGTCTTAATTTTTTAATTCAAAATTGAATTAAAATATCTTTGGAACGGCAAGGTGTCTAATACACATTCCATATGCCTTTATTTCCCAATTTATACTAATTCCGGTTTTAATAATACAAATCAAACACTTATTTTATACAAATTATTATACAAATTACTATCCTTGAGATTCCTGAGTTATATGAAATTATCGATTAATTGACGAATTACAACTGTTCGATCCACCATCAGTCGAGTCAAACACAAATTTAATGATTTACTCCAACCAGGACACAAATTAGGCCTCTAACCACGTATCCACGGATGGATGAATATAATTTGACTCATTGTCTGAGCGCTCTGCCTACGCACATCGCGCCTCCATTTCCATTTCCTCCATTTCAGCAAGTGAAAGTTGTAGGGCGCCCATTCCATTTGAGCAAACAGCAGCGACACAATTGCAGGTGTGTGGGGGGAACACGGGTGGGGCAAAAGCTACAAGCGTCAGATACAGGTATGCGCATGCTTGCCGCATATCTAACAAATCGATCAACACAAAGCCCCAAAAGACAGCCAGCCACTACAAGGCGTATCTTTATGTGCGCGGCGACTTCTTTCTAAGTTGAGATGTTGAAAGTGAAGCTGAGACCGGTGCCCCGGCTTGGCTTGGCAATTAGGCTTGAGCGGGAGACGTCAGCGGCGTTGGCCTTTGTCATCGCATCTCCAGCTATTAACAACATTCTCTGACTGCGCAATGTTTGCGACTCTCACGAGATTACTTAACCAGGCCATTTAGCATAGACACCACGCTGCCATAGCCACAGCCACAGCCACTGCCACTGCCACAATGTCGTCCCGCGCTTGTTGTTTGAACATTTGTGTCATCAATTTCACTTTCTTTCGCGTTCAGGCGGATGGGGTTAAATAAAGCGATGATACTTAGGCCTAGGTTTGGGCACAAAGTGATCCCACTGGCGCCCTTAATCATTTCGGGCCGGGGCCACAAAGACCCCAGACAGAAAAATATTACATGCTAACCCAAATGGCAATTGCTCTCTTACCATTTGTCCAGAGTGCGGGGTTGAGTTTGAATTTGGAGCGGAGTGCCCTGCCCGCAAGGTAATGGTGATGAATTTTTAACGCCAAATACCAAAACTAGACCCCACTTGAAAAGACCTTTAGGCCCCCCAAAAAATATATGCAAACATGCCTGCTCGATGCATAAAAACCGTGCCACTCCACCTCGGAGCTGCACTTTCTCAGCCAGCCGACAACAAACACTGCCTGCCACAACGACTACGCACAATATTGACATTTCATATTTGCACAAAATGAAAAGAAAATCAATTTCACCTGTTGGCATTTTTGCGTTTAACCCAAGAGACCACAAAAAAAAGTCACTAAGAGACAATTTTTGGCCGGCAAGTTTTTTTAAATATTGTTTTAGGATCAGGTATATGAGTCTGGAAAAGTATGCTTTTGAGGCGAAAAATTCCACATTCCATTCCCAGAAGAACCAAACAAACGCATTTTTATCCCATAATCAAATCAAATTAAATTTCTGTGAAACCTGCCTCAGATCTTTACGGGAATGTTTCCTCCTCCTCTCAGTGTGTTGGAATGCCAAAAATTCTGTTGTCATGTCGATAACACGCAAATGGGTCAGTAGAACGTGCCACCGCTGCGGCTATTGGCTGCCCAAAAAACCAAACCGAAACCGGCAACTGCAAAACGCGTCAAGCTAATTTAAAAAGTAAACGCACTTGGGCACATGGCTCTGCGGAGCAGTACGCGAGAGAGCCCAATCTGCCACACCCACACGGTCCGGCGCAGACGAGAAAAGTGGGAAGTGGGGGCAATCGACAATCGGTGTTTAGGCCAACTTGTTGCCGGCTAATTGAGCGACGCCCGACACCCAGCAACAAATCGCTAGTCGAGTCGCAGAAAAGAAACGAAGATAATTGACTTTGAATAAATAATGAATGCCTACATTTCTGTGAGTCCAGTCTGGACAACAGACCCTGCTGTCAGGAACGCATTATGTGGGAGGGGAGCACGACATGAGAAAGGTTATCAAAATTGACAGTTCTCAAAAGCAAAAAAGCAGAAAAGCAGAAAAGCAGAAACCAAGCCAGAGCTTTTCGGTAGAAAAGAGAAATTGTTTATGATTGGCATTTAGAAACTTTGTTTGATTTGACAGTTGGGTGGGTAATAGTCGTAAAACCTGACGATCGATAAGGCCTCGGAGCATGGAGGTCCCGGCAATCCGGTTTAGCGGGGCAGCGCACTACAGATTGCAAAACTGAATGGGAATTACATAACTTTCACTCAAAAACGATGACGCGAACTGCGAACCGCGAACCCCAGCGGTGCTCTGGCTGCGTCAATGAATGAGTAGTGCGAAACTGGATCGCCGCATACCTGACCGTGCGTGCGTGAGGCAAGCCAATGTCATGCGGGCATCATCATCATCATCAATGATGGCATGAATGGATCTCCGGTTAGTGCTTGGGCTCTTGCAGCGCTGAGATATGCAAATTGTCGCAGCAAGTGAATCACTGCACAAAACGCTCGATAAGGCGGCATACTTCCTAGCACACTTTCTTTTTCTCTTGCCGGAGCGGGGCTAAAACAATAACCGAAAATAAAGGCGCGTCACTCATACGCAGCGTGTGACAAGCCGACGCCCGCGGCCGTGGCCGCAACAGGCCTGCCGCCCGGCAACAACAGCAATAACAACAGCAACATTGGGGGCAACATTTAGTGTCGCATTTCGTTGTAATATAAATGAAAGTGAGTGAGGCAGCGGATCGGCTACATATTTTTCTCTGCTGTTACTTTGCTGCTCTTTGAATGGGTTGCCTTTAATAAGCTGCTGGAACAATAAAAATACAAATTTTGTTGCTGCCAAAAATTGAAGCTGCTTCGATTTTATAGAGATCTTTGTACGAAACCTGTCATTTTACGATGCAATTCCTCACAGAGAAACTTGGATAGAAGCATAAACTGGCAATGCAGTGGAGAATGTGGGCCGTGATAGCAGAACGTGACTGGGAAAATCTTCAAGCGAATGAATGACTGATGAATCATAAACTTCAGTGTTCAGACTGATAGACACATAAAAACAGATGTATCTGACAGAGTGAGAGAGAATGAGATGACGATGAGAATAAGAGTGGGGCTTAAGGGAAATATTCCGAATGAACGTACACTCTACAATACCTTAACAATTTTTTATTTTTATTTTGAGTGTTAAATATTAGTTATAATAAGACTTGACTTACTGGTAAATTCCTAAAACCATCGCATTGTATTTATCATTTCCCAAAACATCATCATAATTATTATTATTCCAGTCAAAAACATTTTTTTTTTATCAAATTTAATCAATTTATTTATGAATAATACAATTTTAATATATATGTACGTATAAATAAATAAATAGAATAACAATATAAAATACAATAGTTTAAATATTTTGTATTAAAAAAAAAATCAACAAAAATTTCAAAAGACTACAATTATTTTTAAGTAATTAATTTCAAGTTTTATATTTTATCCATATTTCATTATTAAACTTTGTATGCCTTTAACTTGCTTTTAATTGCCTTTACCTTTACTTAACTCGTCTTTACCTATTTCGCCCATTCTATCAAAAAGCTCTATTATGTTTTATTCCCCTAGAGTTCTATAATTCATATCGACTTCAATTTTCCACTAAAACTTCCTTTTATCCAACAAAAACATTTAAATATTTTTTTATTGCTAATTATTTGTACCATTAGATCGTTTTACCTATTTTCCCACCTAATATTTAACATTCATCCTTGCTTTTGGATAACAAAATGCCTATTTTACCTCTATTATTTTATCACTTATGATTAGCTCGTATTTTTCCCATTGCCACTTAACTTTCAATTATTACCACATAGACATGGATACACAGTCCACTTCAATCATCGAAGTGCTAAACACTATTTCACCATACCATTTACCATTCCCTGCAACAACAACAGAATGGGCTAACACAAATGACCCATTTATGCTGCAAAGAAAGGAGACACACACACACACGGACACATTTTTGCGCTCATAAGTGGACAGCGTGAAATATACGGCAACCGGATCGTTCGGTTAAGAAGCGTAAATAAATTAGCAAATATGTGACTTTGGATATTGCGAGAGTCGAATGAAAGCTGAGCGCAAACGCAGCCGGGCTGGGTAAACTGCGGGTAAACAGCCTCATTGAGGGCGTGTGCATATCGAATGCCTCCAGACCATATCCCAGTCCCAGGCCCAGGCCCAGGCCCAAGACCAAGCCACCAGCCAATGATGTCGAATGTTTACCCCACAACACAGTCAAGGCGCCCCGCCTGATCCAATGGCCAAGTCCAAGTACAAATTTCTCTCCAGTGGCGCTGACTGCGACGACGACGTAGACGTTGACGGATGAAGACGGCGCTCCCGAAAAAAAGGCAGCAGCAGCAGGGCTGCCCAAAAAGCAACCAAAATGAACATTTCAGTTAACAAACAAGTTGACTTTATTTTCTAGATTTATGTACATGTGTGTATGTTGCCTCTACGGCTCTGACGCTGACTCCGACTACAACTCGGGAGAGCCGGCATATTTTTCGCGTCTTTTTTTTGGTTGCTTCCGCAGTCGGCGGCTGCGTCTCGGCTGGTTTTATTTAATTTACTTTGAAATTGTTTTGTAATGTCGGACCGACTGCGACGTCGGCGGCGGCGGCGGCTTCGACAGCGCAACAAACGCCGCCCAATATAAAAGGCTAGACGTCTCGAGACGCATACATCAAACTCATCTCAACGCTCTCGAGCTCAGCAGCAGACAGCATCAGCGCCAGCTCCAGCAAGGATTAAACCGTGTCGCGATCCGACTTGAATCTAAAACGAAACGAAAATGAAAGTGTTTGCCATCGCTTGTGTTACCCTCTTGGCGGCCGCCAGCTGTTCCTGGGCCGCTCCCAGTGTCCAAGACAACAGAATCGAAAGTGATAACACGCTCAGCAGGGCCGCCCGCTATCTGGGTGCCTGTTTGGAGAGCGATGACATGGCCACCTGTCTGGCTGTCAAGGGCATCACTGCCCTGAACCGTGCCGCCAGGAGCAACAACATTGAGCTTGCCAGCGGTGTCACCTTCCAGAGGTGTGTGTTGTGTGTCTGTGACAGTGTTCAAACTGAAATTGAAATCGAAATAAAAAAACCGAAAGTGATGTGGATTTGACACCGTTTTTAATGTGACCCATTTCTCATTCGTTGCAGAGATCCTGCCAGTCCCGTACAGCGCAATGGCAAGTCCCTCAGCGAACAGGATATCTATGCGGAGCTGCCCCAGAACGCCGAGGATCGCAATGGACGCTTGGTCGATCTAGCCATTTCCAGCATGACCGACTTCTTGACCACCCACAACTTGGAGTTCAAGCTGCCCTCGGAGACTACCCAGCAGGTGGCTCGCGCTCTGGATGAAGGTGAGCTCAGCAGTTCCGTCGAACCATTTTAATTTGGTTCTAAAATTCGGATATTTTTGTGCTACTCAGGTCGTGGCAAGATCAAGAAGATGATTGGACCCATTGCCCTGGCTATTGGCGCCAAACTGTTCGCCGTCGTTCCTTTGGTCCTCGGATTCCTCGCTCTGCTAACCTTCAAGGCCGTGATTGTGGCCAAGCTTGCCTTCTTCTTGGCCATCCTGGTTGGCGGCTCCCGTCTTCTGGGCGGATTTGGTAACAAGTTCGGCGGTAACGCCATCGGCGGCGGTTACAGCTCGAACGCCTGGTCTGCCCCTGCCAGTGCTGGCTGGAGCTCGGGTGCCTCTTCGTCCTATCCCTATGCACGCAGCATCAACGAGGAGCAGGTCGATGCCCAGGAGTTGGCCTACGCCGGACAGCAGCAGCAGTAAGCAGTCAGGAGTCAGGAGAGTAGCCGTGGATGCCGTTGGTGCCACTAATGTGCCTTTGTTTTGAAACCCCTTAGCATGTAGTAATTTATTCGAAGAGTAATTAGCTAACTTATTGTACAAGAGACAGCCGAACGCTTTTCACAGCAAGAAAATAGTCATTATGAATGTTTGAATAAAACTAAAAGTATTTCCCCAACCCCCTCTCGAGTCACGAGCGTCTGCCCAACCATATTCCACATCAAAATCCCTGCACGTGCCTCTTGGCGTTTGTATAATTGATGCCGGGGAGGGCGTGGTTGGACAAAATGTTTACCTGTTGGTAAAAGACTTTCCCATGGGGCAGCTTAATTCAAATGCTGACAGAGTCAAGCAAGACTGGTTGGGCGACAAATATTTGGAACTCTGAGCGAACGGGCTTGACCTAAGAGTGCGGCAAGGCAAAAAGTTTCTTGTGGTAATTAAAACTTGTGGCAGGTTCTGCTGCTGCCTGTCCCTCAAACGAGTGGCAGTCGAGCAAAAGGCTGTGCAAAAGGCTGTGCAAAATTATGTGTAAAAGTCTGTGCAAAAAGAATTGATAATCTTTGGATAAAGTTTTGGCAAGCCAAGTGGTATGTGTGCCCTTCTCATAATTGGAGTTTCTAATACTGATGTGGCATGTTAATTGTCTGCCACACAAGTTGCAGCCAGAAGAAACTTTCTACTTATGCTCATAAAAGTGTCACTTTTGCGATTGAAAAGATATATGCGGGTATGCGCTACAATTCAGCTTTCTTTTGGAAATAGATTTAGAAGCAATTGAAATAGAAAACGAGCGCCAGCGAACCAGCAAGCCACCGAACGACACTTGACAAAAAGAGAATGAAATCGAAAGCGTTGAAAGCGTACGCTGGCCAGAGCAACTAACTGGGCCAAAGCGGGCATTAAGTCACCACGACTGAGGCATACCAAATAAGGGGCGGATCGGGGCAGGCCACTAATAATCGCTTTAATGGAATTCAATGGCACGCCTAATGAGCGATGGCGAGCGAGAAGGAGTCAGTGTGGGAAGAAGCCCAAGCAGAAGGCAGCGCCCAAGAATCTGGCACACAGTCAATCTCCTCCAAGAGCCGCCTAAGTCACGTTCCCGTGTGCTGCAGTGCTGCATGCCAATTACAATCAGCTAACGGTGGAAGGCAGAAATTGGGCCATTTGCTTATATAAAATATATGTACAAAAATCATATCCAGCCACGGCAGTGGCAGACGCCCGGCCCAGCCCGGCAGGTCACTTCCCTTTCGTTGACGACGTGCGTGGTGGAAATATGGTCAAGAAATTGTTGGCAGGCAGCATACGCATACGCTTTGCATAAATTGTGCCGGGGATGGCATGGCTTTTTGGTATGGGGACTGTTATTGCAGTGCGGTGCGTTTTTATTTTGGACACTGCGCGATTTCTAGCCACACAAAATTGGTCAATCGACTCAGTTCGGAGCCGGCGGGCACGCATACGATTCGAAAAGGTATAAAACGCGGGGGCATTGCATACAATTAATCACAAAGCAATTTCCATTCGCAAAGCCAACAGCCCCAGCCCAGCCATCAGTGCGCCGACCAGTGTGGAATCCAATCGAAGGATTATCAATATAAATATCAATATCGACTTTTGTCCAAAACCAAAACCAAAGTGCTAAGCAATATGTGCGCGAAATTCGTTTGTGTTGTGCTGGTGGCCAGCTTTGTGTGCGGCGCTTTGGCACTGCCATCGCAGGACGGCAGTGAAAAGGATTTAGTGAACATGCTCAATCGATTGGATAACGAGGAGTCGGTGTCACTGTTCGGTGGCCTGCGCATCGATCGGTCTGAGACGGGACGCAGCTTTGGTGCCAACAAGGGCGTCGAGTCGTTCGAGGACCGCGCCGAACGCTATCTAGAAACACATGAGCTCAATCTGTCCTTCTCCGGCGATGAGCAGGAGGAGAATACCGAGAACGAATACGCCGGACGTGCCATGGATGGTGAGTGATCAAAAAGCAAAGTGCCTTCACTCCACGAAATATTGCGCATACAACGTGTTGTACTGTGGGAACATATAGCCAAATGCAGCAGAAAAGCGTTGCATACTTTTCTGTCTTCGCCTAAGTGGAAGTGAAAGCTTTCTTCGAACTGCCACGGATGGCATACTTTTGGGTGGCCTTCACTCAATGTCTCCGCTTTCTCTCTGCTTTCTCCGCAATAGAATCCCGCAGCAAGCGCATGAAGAAGATGCTGCTGCCTCTGCTGTTGGCTTTGAAACTGAAGAAGGCTGTGGTCGTCAAGGTCATGTTCACGATCATTAAGTTCATCTCGCTGAAAGCCCTGGCCATCTCCTTCCTGGCCCTCATTCTGGCTGGTAAGTGTCGCTAGCTGAAAGCAAACAAAAAGAGGCCCAGCTTACGATTTCCTTGACTTGCAGGTGCCACCTTCTTCAAGGATCTGCTGGCCAAGAAGAAGGAACATATCACCACTGCCTACATCACTGGCAGCCCCCTGAACGCCGATATTGTGCACTCCGACTGGAGCCGCAATGGACAAGCCGCCGGCGCCGATTTGGCCTACAACCACTACGGCCTGGCCCAGCCCTTCTAAGCTCTGCCATACCGCCACAAATCCATCCAATCCATCCCCCTCTATACTAGTCTATATCCCAACCCTCATCACTGCATCTTACCCTCGCTGTTTGCTCTCCCTCGCCTTTTCCTTTCCACCCCTTCAATCCCCTTCCTACATGAGACTTTACCCCTGAAGAATGGCTTAATTCGTTGTAGTCAATAATTATGTATTTACGAGTAGTTACATTTAGTTAGTTAGCTGCGACATACCAAAAAACCAACAAGAAAAGCACAAAAAAAAGAGAAACTTAGAAAGGATCCAATCGGATGCCCACGACATGGCTAGCTCAGGACAATGCTTAAGGATATATGTAATCAAACAGTCGATCATATTTGCGCCATATTTATTGCACATTTCCTTCCACAACCCAGAACCCATAACTCTTGGCGGATGTAAATGTTACTCAGGTCCAATCGAACAAAACGAAGATTATGCCTGCTAAAGAGCTTACTTACTTACTAAGTATTTATTTCGATAACTTAAAGCAAAAGCAATTGAATAAAAATGATTCATCAAATTCAAAAATCACAAATATTTCCAACCTTTTTGCGTAAAGAACTTTTTCTACAGCCCAAATACATACATCAGAGAAAACCTACGCCCATAAATAACTTCAAAGAGATGTAACCCAGATTTGAAGGCATCCTGCCGTGATATATTGCAAAAATATTTTCCGACCTTTTTTTGGACACAACAAAAATCGAGCAAACAACAGAAATAGTCCAAAGTATTCATCATAGGTGAAGATTAATGGCTGAATGTTGGATTGGTTTGTTTTCTGGTTCACCCGCAGTTTCTATCCCTGGATATAGCTTGGCGAAGCAATCAAAGAAATATGTTCGTAATCATCCAATCGAATATGCACATACATATGTATGTGTGTTTAAGGAATTGAAAGAGTATGCAATGCGTATGCTTTTCACTCTTAAAGCCCATCTATTGATATATGTTAAATATCTAAACATAAGTGTGAATGTATGGGCTCATATGGGATATTCCCCAGTGGCCAATGCTTTCTTTATCATGCAAAAATAGTGCCAGCATTTGTGTTTCATTAATTTATTAGCAAATTTAATTAACATGGTCTCTAGGCCCACTCCACTGGCTTTCTTTGCGTATTCTTCCTAATTGATTACGGGCAAATGTCCCACTTACTGTTCCTCTATAAAACTGAAACAAATAGACTATTGTTTATCAGTTCCATTTGATCAGCATTGAGATGAACGGTATAAGCAAGAACTTAGCAGGCGGGTGCCTGATTAAAACTGCCCTCATCGTCGGCTTGCTGGTGTCTCTTGCCTCGACACTGCCTGTCACCGAGGAGCAGTCCTCGACTGCGGCCACTAACGTGTCTGCCCCTTCGATTCAAACGACCGAGAAGCTGGCTGAGGGTGCAGAACTTGTGGATGGCCCCTTGGATGCTGCTGGGCAACTGCGCTTTCCTCCAGATGGAAACGGTGGATTTTTCCAGAAATTCGGCCAAAGACTAAAGAACAAGAAGACCACAACGACCACTACTACCACTACTACCACTTCATCGACGACCCAACCACCATCATCGATTTGAAATTTCTGTGACTGCGACAATTATTTAATATTTATTCAATTTAAATTTACTATACCCAGCATATTCCATAAAATATAATTTGTTTTATGAAAACCGCATTAAATGTTTTGCAATTGAGAATCAAACTATAGAAAGGGCCAGAATCAAAATAAACTCCAGAAAATAAATCATTAGCAAAGTATAATATGAATACAAAGAGTCAAGAGGCAGCAATGAAGAAAGATATATTACCTCATGGGCGAAGAAAGCGGCAAAACGAGGGTAGGGAAGGGCCAGAAGAGAAATGAAATGAAAATGTAATAATAATTAACAATGAATTGTTAGTTAGTCCCAGTTAGGCATGGCAAAATGCTGTGACTTAATTTATGGAAGTCCGAGGCACGCGACCTTTATCTGCCTCTGGTAATTATGCGAATGTCCACGAGTTTTCTTCTCGGCTCCCAGGGCTCTCCGGGAATTCATTAGTTGGAACTTTTTTGGCGACAGAATTAGCCGCATGGTTCGTCTCGCAAGACTGGCCGCTGTGCGCAGAGGAAAGCGAAAGTCCCACCCATTCGCCGCTGATGCCCCCCCAGTTGCTTGGTTGTCGGTTGTCCGGTTGCCCGGTTGGACGCAGCTGACTGACGCTGGGAAGAATTTCGACCACAAATCGTTTGGGTAATTAGAAAAGGCAAGGGGCCACAGAGAGTACACAGAGCACAGCATTGGTGAAAGGGAAATGGGAAATGGGTATAGAAATGGAAGTGGAAGTTTGGTATAAAAGGCGAACCCATAAAAATTAGATGTTGCAGTCTCTCTAAAGCAATCCCCAAGCATAAGTCCCCGTACAGCAACAATAGGTTTGTCACACCAAGTATGTTGCTAATCAAAACCCTGGAGTATCTATTCTACCTGGCCCTGTTCGCCTTCATGTGCAAATATGCCCAGGCGGCCAGCGTCCAAGCCACAGAAGCATCGACTATTGCCACAGAACCTCTAAGGAAGCCGCAAAAAATAGAGACGCCTCTCAATGAGTGCGATGCTTCGTCATTCAGCTGGATGTGCCTCAAGATAGAGCTGGTCAAGATCATGGAGAGGCTGGCCGAGCAGCAGGAGCTCAGTGTCTTGCCCGGCGTTAGTGTGGTTAAGGATGAGAGTGCCACCGAAATGAAGACCTCCGAGCTAATGGCGGGTAAGCTCTCTCTCCATCGCATCGTTATGGGGAAGGGAATGCTAACTACTGTCTAATCTTGCAGAGGTGGCACGCAGCTATCCAAGTGATCCCAATACCCGTCTGAATGGATACATAGTGGCCAAAATGGAGAATCTCCTGAAGACGCGCTTCCTTCGCTTCCGCTTGCTGGACGACAAGGCCCTGGTGGAGGGACGCAAGCACAAGTTTGGCAAGAAGGGCGGTCTGGAAGCTCTAGTGGCAGCCGGTGTCATGATGAAGGGCATGCTGATGGCCATGGGCTTGGGCGCGATAGCTCTTATGGCGGGCAAGGCCCTGATGGCAGCTCTCATGGCTCTGACGCTGTCCGGCGTCCTGGGTCTTAAAAGCTTGGCCGGCGGTGGCAAGTCAACCACATACGAGATAGTGGCCAAACCCATTTACACCTCAAGCCACTCCCACTCGGTTACCCACGAGGATGGCCATGGACACACGCCACACTTTGCAGCTGGAGGCGGCGGAGGTGGTGGCACTGCCAGCGGTTTCGGCTACGGTGGATATGCCAGATCTATGAAGCCAGGCAGTCAAATGCAAAAGCAGTAGACGAGATTCGAAGCATTTACGTGTATAACTACTCTTAGGTTATTTATTTATTTATTTATTGTAATTTAAGCATGACAGGAAATACATGCAAATCTATCATTGAAAAATAAGCGATATAAATCAATGGGTTACACTTGTGACGACGTTTGCTGTACCTAATTCTTTTACCTGGATACTACTTAAGGTTCTTTAATTGCCTCAAAATGTTCATGACGACCCCCTTGTGGAGTTGTTTTGTTCTTCTGATGGCCATCACTATTACTGCTGGACGCAAAAATCGCACAAGTAATTTACAACTCAAACCCTAAAAATTTATCTAAATATATTTCACGTATATTTCTCCTCAGTATGCGATGATTTGGGTGTATGTATGAAAAGCTGTTTTGTGATAATTGTCCAGACGAAAGCCCAGTGTCCCGAGGGTAAGCGGTGTTGCCTACATGGAAACGTCCCGGATACTTACCCTGCAGTACAAGTCCTCGATGACTCATCTGATGACGAGTCGATGACAGCATCTCTACCACCGATGACATAGGCGATGAACCGCCTACGAAGTGTTGAAATTTACATGGTAAGACCTCTCCATAGGGCATATCAGATGACATTGTCTTCCAGGAAGAATCATGCATATTATAAGCGATGATTTCAGAGAGGAAGTAATAGATTTATATTTGTCGTATATATGTGATGAGTTTCCAAAATATTAATACATTTAAAAATTATTGGTTTCGGGAAAAAGTAGTACTCGTAGATTATTTAACATTGTTCCCTGAGCCCTGTACTTTTTGGCTCTTGAACATTTTTTAAATGTGCTATGCTTAACGTTATGGTTATATAGTTCTTTTAGCGGGCTCTTTTGGAATCTTCTACTGAATCGCCACTGAAATAATATTGATTACTTACTACGCGGTACTCAGTGAGTATACATTTCAGCTTATAATTTATCTAATTTTTATAATATATATTATGTGACGTTTTGTATTGCTTTTCGCAAAAAGGACAAATTAATTTTCTGTTAAAAAAATTTTTTTTTAAAGTCATAAAAATCGGTTGAACCTATTCAAATTTGTCTGTTTGTTTTCTATTCTCACAAAACATCAGCCGTTTTTTCTCGCCAGAGGGCGAACACTGCACCAGGAAGATTGTGTGAAAAATAAGGGACTGAGTAAGCGCGTGGCCACTGAAAATTTATTTGTTCATTCTGGCTATAATAATCATTATAGTCAAAAAAATAAAATACACTCCTAATTATAAAAAAAAAAAAAAAATCGAATCATTAAATTTGTGAAATAACATTTCATATTTTGATTTTTTTCCATTTAACATTTTTTGGTCACATATGTATTTCAAAATTTATAGCGATATTATTTTTTCTGTATTCTTCTTGAGTTTATCAATCGCGTTCAATAGTCCAACTGCTCCCAGTGACGTCAAATTATGTAAGTAAATATTTGTATAAAAAAAATCAACGTCAATTAGCAAGTCCAAAGAGAATCAACTACCAAACTGTATATAAAAACTTTCTTATACTCTCACTTAAGCGCTCTTTACAGAACAAAGTTATTTGGCAAAAGTTTGCTCCAAACAAAACTTTGAAAAGGTATTTAAACTTCAGTGCAAAAAACTCCAGCTGAGTCTTCTGCGAGCATTAATTAGCAAAATTATTAAACATTGATTTTTGCCACTAGCCTACTTTTTAATTTGACCCAATTTCTTTAAATAATTAAACCGAAATTCGTTGAATATACTTTAGTCCATTGCATGTCACCATAAAGTCACTCTGTGGTGGTAAGTAGCTCGAATACTTTCCACGAAAATTTCATACTTAATTACTCTTTCTACAGCTGAATCTGTTGGCCACCTGATATGGATTTCATTGATACGAAATGGTCTCCAGGCGGGTACTCCTCCCTTGTCAGTACTGACAGCTAAAGGTGATTATCCGAAAAACCCCAATCGTACTTACCAGCCCCATAGCACAGCCAGTGACATCGGGGGCAGTCAACTACGAAACAACGGAGGCAGACTCAACTGTCAACGCTGAAGCGGAGGTTACGGTTGTTACAGTGAAATCCATGCATTCAGCATGAACGCTTTAGAAGCAGAAGCCTGGACTCAACGTCTGGAAGGAACCTCACGGGTATCTGCAGGCCCAACTCTAGTTAATGCCTGACATCTTGAACAGCTCGCATCAATTTGCACATGGCTCAAACACGGCTGCATGAGAACACTGGGGTACTATCGACTGCCAGTATATATCCCATATCCATAAACTATTGGCTAAAAAATGGCGAGTTAAACTCCGCCACTACAACTATGACACTACAACCACTACATCGGAACGTCCGGTCACAGTGCTCCCGAAGAAACAAGATTTTTAAGGTAGTTACAACGACCGAAAGCAATATTTACTCTGAATTAGAAACAACAATTATAAACAACCATGTGTAAATCTGGGCTATACTGAGGTCCCAAACTAAAGAGTGATGTCCAGTTGACATTTGCAAATCCATATTCCAGGCAATCAAATAAAAGTATAACTTTATAGCTAGAAAATAAATCACAAAGACTGATTTGCTATATGAAATGGTCATACCTTGCTCTTGTGCAACAAATATTGGGTATTATATGGTAGTGTAATTCGAATCATACATCAGCCTCGAATCAGCCTCACGAAACATTACAAACTGATGTTTCATATTTTGTTACAAACATACGTCCATTTAAATAGGAACAATTTGTTTAAACTTCTTTGTGGTTGAATTGAAACTTTTTATTTCTTTGTTTAAAACTAAACTATAGTAGTTATTCTGCTTTTATTCTTATATCGCTCAAATCGTTAATTTAGTGGGCTCTGTGGAAATTATTGGTGGTGGCGTTTCTGTAGTAGTAGTTGTTGTGGGTTTTCTCCACTTGCCTCGCCATTTGTTTGTTCCAGGACGGTTCTTATTCTGATTTTTGTCCTTCCAGATGTTTTTCAGATTCAATCCTGAATCCTTAAGCAAATTCTCAGCCAATAGCTTATTCAATTTTGATGCGAGTTGGTCTTCAGAGTTGCCTTTGTACAAACTTTGGGCGTCGTTCATCATAAATGGAATTGGATATGGGATATATATCGGCATCGGATAGTACCACGGTTGCAAAGTGGGTGGCATTGGGGCTTTAGTTGCAGCCGCGTTCGAGCCAAGTGCTAATTGAGGAGAGCTGTTCCACATTTCAGGCATTGACAAAAGTTGAGCCTGCAGATATCCTTGAGGTCCGTCCCAAACGTTGAGCCCAGGCTTCTTCTGTGGCGCTCGTGTTGGCTGCGCAGATTTCACTGGAACGACTGTAACTTCCCCATCAGCGTCGATAGTTATGTCTGTCTCCGTTGTTTCGTATTTAACTTCCTCCGATATCTCTGGCTTTGTTATGGGGCTCGAAAGCACGATCAGTGGATTTTTCGGATCATCATTTCTAGCTGTCAGTACTGAGAGGGGAGGCTCTTGTTCCGCGTGGCAATTTGTTATCAATGACATCCATAGCAGTAGGGCAACAGTTTTAGCTATAGAAGGTGTAAATAAGTATACAAGTTTCACAGAAAAGTGTTCGAGCTACATACCACTGCAGAGTAGCTTCATGGTGTCAAGAAATGGACTAAAGTTCTTTTGAGAAAAGTTCGGTTTTTATGCGAATTTTCGATTAAATAAGAAAGTGGGTCAGTGCAAAAATGAAGACTTGAATGAATTTGCTAATTAACAGTTTTATTGTTTTATAAAATATAATAATTTTTAATTAGAGGTTTTTTAGAAGCAAACATTTCTCCAGTTCTTTTACTAAAACGAGTTACACGCCGACGTGGCATACTTTTAGGCATCCGGAAAAATCTTTCACTCTCTCTCGCTGTCGTCGATGCATGACTGTGTGTGAGTACCGATGCGGTATACTTATGCTCACCCAACATCACCCAAAGTTGGCCGCATCTTGTCTGCACATTCGGTCTGGCACCTCGAATCAGTTGGTCTTAAACGTTTGCCGGTCTTCCACGTTCAACGCGTCGCAACGTTTCGGCCAGAGCCCACAACAGCCATAAAAAAAGTGAAAGACCCGATGGGACAAGATGAATTCTGGGTATCAAATGTCCGAAATTTGGGTGTTGTGAAAACTTGAGAGAGCGAAAGTAACTAGTAGCCGACAATAACAACAAATTGTCTTGCTAATTAGCCGCCGACACGCAACAGCAACGACAAGAATTATGAGTCGATGAGGCAGGAGTGAGTGTGAACGTGATATCTTCCAGTGTTTCTGTGAGTGTTATTGTGATTGAGAGTAAGTGCGTGCGAGAGGCTGCTAATTGGTCGTGGAACATCCTTACCCTAAAGAAACAGTAAGTAAAAGCCCGAGAGCCAAGCATTCCGATTTAAATCGAACTTGATTGCCCGTGAAATGCAAATATTTGACCCAGTTTCGAGTGCGCCCCACAGGCAACTGCCTGCACAAAAGCCAGCAACAGCTGGTAAGCCGGTTATAGCCAGTCACTGCAAGGCTGCACTGTGCTGCACTGCCGGGATGGCTTATCAACCGAAAAGTGGAAACAAAACCCGTTTCTTACCTTCCTGCATGCAAGTGAAAGAGTGGAAATGGATGTAAAAGTGAAATTTCCTGGTGTCTGGGGCCGGCTTAATAAAGTTCTTAAAGACCCTCCGCTTACCGGGCCCCCCGACCCCGACTCACTTGAGTTATTAGCGCATGCCAGATGAGAATCTCAACGCGCTCTAATACCCAACAAGCAGCAGCAGGTACTCGTATATTAGAATGCCAATTAGGGTTTGAATGGCGTGCCAAGTGGTTGTAGATTCTAAAAAACAAAATATTTATAATGTTATACAAATTGGGAATAGAGACCAGAAGCGGGTAGCGAAGAGTGTAAGTAAATGGCTGAAATACGCTGTACTTTATTTGTACCTCAAAGCCCAGCATATTGCTGAATAATCGCAGTAAAGTGACAGGAAAGGGAAAGCATTTTGGCATAGATTTTGAAGCGATAAAACCGCATACATACATATACGACATAAATGTCGATGCGGTGACAGAAATGTTTAATGCAAAGCCTGTTATATTTATTTGCTATTTTATTGCCGCTCTGTGGCATATCAAATATGCGCAATAATTACCACTTAATTCATTGCACTCTACCTTGCCCATGGATAAACATTAAAAAATCATGGTAAATCCGATCTATTTGGACTTAATAAGCCATTAGTAAGTCAGGTTGGTTAACCGCAACGAAAGTGAATTTGCTGCCTATAGATTTCTCTTACCGCAAATAAAACGCAACAGAAGAAATGTGAGACTAGCAGACAGACCTAGAGCAAAAGTTAAACAACTTTTAAAAATATTTGCACGCTATTCCCGAACAGAGTCTGAGATAGAGATACAGGCACGCATGAAGTGAAATTAGTAATCTATTAGATACATTCACCGGGCGGGCGTTCGACTGAAACTGAAACCGAAACCGAAAGCTGCCGCTGAATGGCTCTCAGATTGATGCGATTCCATCGTAAGGGCATGCATACGAGTATTTTTAAACTTTACATAACTTCTGGTTAAACATTGCTCTTAAATGCCTTCCACTTGATGGCAGGGCAGCTCTGTGATGTTTTTTGTCTGGGATGCGTGTGTCTGCTCGAGAAATTGTCACATAAAAATGCAATAAAATCTCACAGAAATGCCGTCACTGACAGCCACAGCAGCAGCAACAGCAATGGCAACAGAAATGACAGCGTACAGGGAAAGCTTGTTACCTTCCCGAACGTAATCTGGCTGGCAACGGATGGCGGAAGGTTGGCCATTTTCAAATGTCATTAAGATGAATGTAACTGAATCATTATTCAAAGAGCAGAAAGCATTCGAGTGAAAGGGTCGGGCCCGTTGTCAACTGGTATGGCAGAACGAGCGGCGAATTAAACGAATTAACAAAATCGCACATCTTACATAAGGTCCACACAAATCTTCAAGACCAAAAGTTCTATGGTTTCTATGCCACTAACCCTTCAAGTCAGTCGCCTAACGGTCAGTCAGGCCTGGGCCGGGTCTTCGACTCGGCTTGAACTCAAAGAGAGCTCTTACTTCATTGTAGAGGTTGGGCGTCGTTGGGTGAGTTCTTCTGCTGGTGATGGTTGCTCCCCAAAACTTGATTTAGCAGCCCATTATTTTTATAGCAATTGTGTACGAGTACTCAGTCTTTTATGGGTATTTTTGTGGCATGACATAAGTCGACATGGCACTTTAATAGAATGGAGAGCCTTTAATATGAAAAGCCATAACAACACGACGCGTTACATGAAACATATTGTGGTGCCGTTTGTGTATATTACGCATACGTCCTGTGCTACGGAGAGCCGCAAATTCGAAGCTCGTTAAAAATAATAATCATAAGTCATGTAGCTGCAGCTGTGCGCGTTATTTAGTATAATTGATTGCATTATACACATGATTAGCAACGGCTATACACATATCAAGTAGTATGGAGAGGCACTTACATTGCATGTCTAGGATTCCAAGCTAATTAGAAATCCACAAAATGCCAACAGGCCAATGGAGGTCAGAGGTTTCCTGGCAGATGCTTCGGAACACTCCGAAAAACCTGGCCTAATAACCCAAATTGGTCAGCTCTTTAGATTGATATCTCGGTTATTGATGTGGCAAACAAAACTTCCATGTCTTTTGTTGCGAATATCATTGAAACGGGGCTCAGTGCGGAAGGTAATGGAATTTTTATTTGACAGCTTGATTGCTTTTTATTGTCACCAATGCCGTTCTCAATTTGAGTTCTCCAAGACACTTAATATCCCATTTGAATACAAAGCTTGAGACCTCTTCCTCTCTCTGACAAATATTCACAGACCACAGTGGGGCTATCGGACTATTGCTGACCCAATTTTGAGTCCCAAAAAGAGTTTCGGTGAATATACATACTAGCCCAATAAATACATAATAGAATTCACTTTATCTTTATTCTTCTTTATAGCAAAAACTCGTTTGTGTTGGATCCTAAATGGCCGTGAAAAGCGCAGCCAGCCGCTGTGCAGAATTACCGTCCAACGAGCAGACAAAGTGCACTTGAAACAATCCAAGTTAACTGGAAAACTCAGCCACAACGCAGCCAAACAACTTTCAGCGGTGGTCAATGCAAAAGCAGAAACATCAGCAACAAACTACAGTTAAGGTTTTGAGCCGCGGAAGAATCTTGAAGCAATATTTGCAACGGCAACGTGTGAATACACAGGAAGATCCAGACTGCGGATGGCGACTGCAATGCGAAAAGTTAACGACGACTGAACGAAACCAGAGAGTGATAGAGAGAAAGAGAGAGAGAGAGAGAGAGAGAGAGCGGAGTCAAAAGAGCGACCGATCTGCCTGGGGCTGGCCATGATCTTGGCTTACAGCGCGAGAGCTTCCCTCCACAGTTGTCCGCCAGACGCGCACGCATGCGCACGCGAAAACTTGCTAACCGGGATCTACATAACGTATCTGCCAGATACCAGATACAACGAAACGATACGCGTTCACCGTTAGTCCGTAGGTGTGTCGTAGGCCTTGATGAAGTAATTGCAGGTGGTATCTAACCGCACAGCTCTTTTTGTGGCCAACAGTTGGCTAAAGCAAATAGAAAACGAGGCGCTAAATGCGGCAGCGAAACTCCAAACAAACAAACGAATCCAAAGTGAAATACGTGAAGAAAGTACAATCAACGCACAGTCTAAAAGAATTTACCAGAGAGGAGAGGAGCAGGAAATCAATGAAATTGTGTTTGCGGGCTAATCTGGTTTTACTCGGAACACTTTGCTGCCTCACAAATTGATTTGTCAAGTGGCTAACGATTTCGCCAATAAAGCCTTGGCCCCAGCCATTGTGTCCGGCCCAGACGGTAGGGCGTTCCTAAGCAGCTCAAAGTTCCTAAGCACGTAGACGGCAAATTCAGAGTCAGTCAGGCGGATCCAAATAAATAAACAGCTTGGAACAGACAAATTGCAGAGGAGACTGGCTACGGGTACGGCTACCCATTGCGGCCCATTGATTGCCTTGCCATTTCTTTGTGCAATTGCAGGTTAAAGGTGTAAACAGCCATCAACATCACTGTCTCGGTGTCAGTTGTTTAAGGGAAGTGCTAATCGGAGAGTGAAACTGAAATTGAAAATGCATAGCCCGCCGGCGACACACATACTCGTACAGAGCGTACAGATGCTCCATAATTGGACGTCAAGTGAGAGTCAATGCACATCCTCAAAGCGGGCCAAAAGAAATCGCACCTGCAATCGTAGTTGCAGTCGGAATCGAAATCACAGTTGGAGCCACCCAGGTAGCAGCATGGTCAAATCAAATACTTGGCTTCTGCTCTTGGCCATGCTCTGTCTAATCAACTTTGTCGCCAAAGCGGATGAGACTGCTCAGAATGGACGTGGACGTGGACGCGTTGGCCGCCATCTCTCCACAACACCTTTGAGTCACACAGCGACTGAGTCCCCGGACACTGCGACGGAGTCAGCGACAGTCACAGAGTTAGCGCCAACAGAATCCGCCACGGAACTGGCACAGGAAGACTGGCAGCCTGTGGTGAATGCCACACAGATGACGATGCCGACGCCGCTCAGGAAGCAGATGGATGAAAGAGCCGGCAGCGATTCGGTGCTGCTGCGTTTGGCCCGTCGCTTCACCAGCGGCAACGAGCTGTGGAATGGCATCATTCGCGATTGCTATCTCCGGCCAGACATCTCGTGTTTTCAAAAGAACGTTTTCAGCTATCTAAATGACGCCCTCGATGTGCAGGATGTGAATGTGACACAGCGCCTCAAGTTCTTTAAGAATCAAGTGCAGTACGAGGCGGATAAGGAGCAGGAGCAGCACAATGCAAACGAGATTCCCAATAGGGCGCGTGCCGGTAAGTGGTTTTACTCCAACCCGTCTCCATTTACTCCATTTATCAAGAGACAAAAAATCTTATGTAAGAGGCGCTCTAGCCCTTCGACTTGCCTTGCCTCACATACCAGTCGCTCGTTCGATCAGTTTTCACATTTGATTCTTTTCTTCTTCGTTTCGTTGTTTACCTCTACTCAACCTGGGCACGTTCACCGCCGACTGAAAGAAAACTTTCACTTGTTGGGTTTTGATTTGATTTTTTATGTATCTTTGCTCCGACACAGCACAGCAACAGCTAAGCCGCAAAGAGAGTAGTAAAATATCTTCGGCGGCGAGTCGATCTCTCATTCATGTGAGTCACGGCGTTTTGACTGCGCACTCAATTACTCGCCTTTTGGGTAGCCATCAATGGTTTGTTTGGCCAATGCCACGGCAAGTATTGGAGTAACAACTGTAACAATTGCCCATTAACATTAATTAAACCGGTCGTCGGGAGTTGTGCAACCGCTGAACATCGTTTAGAATTAGCAAAGAAATTGAGATAATTGAGAAGCTATGTTTATGCAATCGCCAGGTTTCGTTGCGTTCTCAGCACTTTCCATAACCCAAATATGCCAGGCAGTCAGTTCACATTTCACCCCATGAATCTCTCTGTTTTATAGCCCCGCCGGCGGAAACCCCCATCGAGGAAGTGACAACGGCGCTGTATGGCAAGAGTATTAAATTTGCGATGACCCACGATCTGGAAGTGGATTTACCAGAAGTAATGTTCAATGGCGCCACATTTCGCATCTCGCCGCGTTCCATCGAAGGAAATGGAATCATTGCCAAGCTGGAGCTAATACCCAAGCAGGTGGTCAAGGCCCGGCTGGCTGGCATGATAATCCAGAAGAAAATACGTAAGTAATATTCGCATTCGCTTGTCTTTTGGCTTGGCTTGTGGCTGCTGCAGTCACGCACCGCACCCCACAAGCAGATGCAGACGCAGATGCAGATGAGAAGCGCTTTCACTCTCTGAAAAAGAGCGAGCGAGCAACTGCAGCCAATGCAGCCGACACACGAAAAAATGCTCAAAAATCTCTGATTTCATTTTAACTTTCGTTTCATTTTCTGGTAGAAAAATTTCTACGCAGTAAAATTGTGCTGTCATTCCTGGCATTGCTGCTAATCATCAAAATCATCAAGATCAAGTTATTCTGGTTGCTTCCGATCGTCATTGGCGTTGGTGCGGCAAAGAAGTTGCTCCTGAAATTCCTGCTGTTCCTGTTCCCGGCATTGTCGCACCTCTTTAAGTTGTGCTCGCACTACCAGCAATCGTATCATGCACCCCTTAAGTACCACCACCACCATCACCTAATTGATCATCATCACACGGCAAGTACAAAAGATCGAAATAATATAATTCTTTTATCATTTATCACTCGTTCGGGGTCAGATACCTCAAAAATGGGAACGTCTGATGTGTAGTCTTATACTTTTTTGGTGAAATTTCATTAGCCAGCTTGAGCTTCTAAGCATATTTTGTCTATCCGCCTGCCGGTCGGAAGTCTCTGTTGTTGCTCCACGGAAATTCAATTAGAAAAGTACAAGTACTTTGGCCTCTCAGTAGAAAAGTATTTTCATTGAAAGCACGCGTTAACACATGCTCAGACGCTGACACAGACAGCTCCTCAGCTTGACGTATCGTCAAATGAAATCCCTACCGTCTTTGGTAAATGTCCTCGTTGGCGAGGATTATAGCTGGCTCCCACCTGAATTTCCCATTCTATGCTCACTTGTCAGAAGAAAGGAGTGCACACGCGTAGATACTCGTATTTATGAGATATTTATATTCGCATTTGAAAATTCTGCTGGATGCAAAACCAGGGCCTGAGGCTTAAGCTCGTCGGGATAATCCGGGTTTCTGTGTTTGCTTATAAAATTCTATCTGGCTTGCAACGGCTTGCGACTGAGTAAGGTTTTTTAAAATCAGGATTCAATAAAATCAGGAATTTTCCACTTAAAATCCTTAACGGCTGTCACGTAGTCAGGTTAAATTGGGATTAGGCCGACTATTAATCGATTTTACAGTAGTTAATGGAGAAAACTTGTAACCAAGTAACCAAGGAAGACATGAACGCTCAACATGTTGCTCCATGGAATAAATACATTTTTCAAGCGTTGATTGTGGAAAGTTAAGCGAGAAGAATGACCCATACAAATAGAAAGCTGGTAGCTAGACTTCTTTATGGCATTCTCGATTTTCATACTCTGGATACCACAGATAATGTGTCTGTCCTTTTATCCAGCCCTGGCCAAAGTCTGCGTAAATTAAATTACTTTGAGTTTGTCATTGCCCAAAAGGAAGTCTTTTCACACACAAGGACTCATCATAGCTCGACAACCGCTTGACAACCACACGTACAATCTGGGCGCAGCATTTCATCTGTTTGTGATGTGGCAAATGTTCGTTTGTCACCTCTTTACCAGGAAAACTCAGTTGTCTCTGAAGACAGTGATAGAACCACGAAATATGAGCCGAGCCATGAGTTTGGCCAACAATAAAAACCACAAGTAATAAGCAGAATGTGAATCTAAAGCTATAACTACGACTGTCGGTATATCAACATTTCATTCATTATTTACGGCTATTTGGCAGTCATTGAACTGGGACTAAGGGAGAGATCCCACAGGGAAATATAATGCGTATTATTCGGATACCAGTAGCCCGTACCTACCAGTATTGGCTATAAATAGCCAAAAAATGTCGTGATGAGAGCACTCCACACGAATAAGAAGAAGCCCTCCAACTCACACACACAACAAAAAAGAGATGAAAAAAAAATGAAAAAAGTTCTGGTGCCACGAGTTTATTAAATGTCACGCAGAAGCCTTGCAGCATCGACTGCTCCATTACATTTTTCAATTTAAGCTTATCATTGGTTTTTTTTTGTCTACCTCCCCCTTCCCGTCTGCGTCTCATCTTTAGGTGGTTCCACCATGGCACAGTGGAGAACACCAGTCGGTGCCTGACATTATCTACACTCACCCACCCAAGGGTCATCCATCTGCGTATCTCCATGGTGCGCCCGTGCACGAGAGCCATGGACCAGGATTCGAGCACTTTGAGGGCGCATGGGAGAACAGCGGCCCGGGACTGGGGTCTGAGTAAGTTTTTTGCATGGCTTTGGCAGCACTCTATATATCTGTCTTTATCTTTATGTTTATCTGTATCTATGACTCTGTCTTGTCTCTAAACACACATTTCTCACTCTCACAACAACAAACCAAAACAACAACAAAAAATCCTTCATCACAATAGATACATAGGCGATATAAATCGCGCTGCACAAATAGAGGATAATCCGCATTTATTTAAGCCGAATACGGCGAATGATGCTGGGGTACTGCATGCTTGGGGCCTGGGCACCACACAGACGTATCCTAAACAGCCGCAGAACCATCCACAGCAGCACCCACAGCAGCAGCAGCAACGTTGGCCTGCCACACAACAGTCCAGGCCACCGACAGCCCAACAGCACAGGCCGCAATTACAACACCAGCAGCAGCAACAGCAACAGCAGCAGAAATTTCAACAACAATTAAACGCCCAGAAAGTACATGCCTCTAGTCACAGTTTAAATCCATTTCAAAGTCAGGATAAACAAAGGTATATACATCCTCAGCACTCGCTCAAAACACACAAATCTGTACACACATACGCACACCCATTAATAAGGTCGTAATATACTCGAACTCTACTAACATCTAACACACCAGGGACCTCTTAAAGTATCCGCACTCCTGAGAAACGCACACTGAATTTTTCATCTCTTTATTAATACACCCAGAGAAAAATCAAATACTAAAAAGAAGCACACACATATTTAAATTACATATTCGGGGCTGAAGTGCAAACATGGTGAAATTATAAACACTTTAAAATAAATATATGAAGTTTGTTGGAAATATATTTAATTTACATTTTATATGTATTTATTTTAAATATGGAAATATGTAATTTAAGTATGAAAACATTTTACAATTCCCACTCTCGTTGAAAATCTTTTGGCATACATTTTTAATTCTAAGTGTAAATATTCAAATATCAGGGTGTTTGTTCTCTCTGTACAAAAAAAAAAGTTTATATTTTATATCGCACAACTGTTGTGTAGGCGTTATAATCAAAATTGAATGCCGAATTGTATTGCTTATCCATGCCACACAGTCCCAGTCTTATTTCAATATGTGACTCCTCAATCTGTTTTCCCAGTCACCTTGTGTCCTCGTGGTCTCGGCAGGAGGCACACGCACATGAGAATGTAATTAAAATTTGTTTAATGAAAGCCAAACAACAGACAAGGGCCGAGAGCAATCATCGTACGAGTAGTTGTAATTTTTGCCAATTACAAAGTCTGCTGACAGGCAAAAAACAAAACGAATAAAGGAAATTGGAGTCACTCTCTAATGAAACTATTGTGCAGAGACCCTGCTCACATTCCAATTTGTAATACTCCCACTTTGCATGTTACAGCTCAAGGCCAGCTTACACCCAGCCGCATCCGGTATACGTTCCAGGACACCAGCAGCCACAGCTAGGACCAGGATCAGGACCCGGAGCAGGACTGACGGCTGCCGCACAGATTGCCGCACAATACGAGCCAGCACGCAACAATCAGCAGCAGCAGCAGCCACAGCAACAGCACCACCAAAATTTGCAGGAGCCACAACTTTCGGTGCGTATCACATTACAATACCCATTATGTACAACGCTTAGATGTACAAACGGAATCTACGAATGTACTGCATTTGTAATTGGAATTCAACATACCCAAAAAAACAAAAAGGAACCTGTGAAATCAGATAACCCACACATAAAACAAAGCCTTGGGTTAGACGAGGTTTTGTGTGGCTTTATTTTAAAAGGAAATGGAGAATTTAGGGCACATCCAGCATCCAAAATCCAGCAGATTTTAAAATTATAATTTAATTTGAAGCGAGCAGACTAATTTAAGCTCAGAGACAACTCAATTAGAAGGAAATTGAATTTGTATTTTAGTCCGACATCGAATCGATTGCAAAGCAAATGTTTGTCATAATATTTTTCTCATCAGAAACAAGCAAGAAAAACAATTTATTTTCCATGCTTTCTCTGTCCCTGCGGAACTTTCCATTCCATCCCAGATCATTTGGCCAATTTGCTGTGTAGGTCACTGGACTGGGACTCCACTCCACCCACCAGGCATCATTAGTGGCATAGTGCCAACTCCTATTTGCACAGCTTGACGGGCGTGCAACAGCAGCCACAGCAGCACATTCAATCAAGCGCTGCTGCAGTTTCACTTGTTGTCAGTGTCAGTTCAAACAAATGTCTAGACTCCTCTCGTATCTTCATTTATTGACACTTTCCTCAGCTCACAGTGCAAATAGTTTTTCTTGTGTCTGCAAAAGACCCTTACGCAGATGCAATTTGTGCCCGCTAGGAAGTTGTTTTTTTTTTTAGTTTTTTTTAGTTAACGACACCATGCAAATTGCAGGGCTGTGCAACGTTTTGCCGCCCAACTGCCGACTGACGGTTTTCACTTTCGAGTGTCCAGGCCAGGCCAGAGCGTCATGTGGGCTGTGTCTTCAGACATGTGGCTTGTCAACTAAACCCATAATTAAATTGCACTTTGCCATTGCAAAGCCAGGCGGGGCGGCAGCTGTGGCAGGGAAATCCGCCAAGCAAAGCTTGCGAAATGCCCCGCTGTTCACCTTAATTAAATGAGCACAGCACACATTGGCCAAGCATGAAATATGATGGGAACTTGTCGGGAAAGTGTGCCTGTAAGCCGTAAACCGTAAGCCACCTAAGAGACCTGTCCGCAGCAGACGTGATGTCCGTTTAAACGCTAGCCTGGCCGCATGCATGGAAACCCTTTATGACCGACTACAGCCTCAACTCAACATTTTGCTCTCTTACTCCTCCCATCCGAAACATAGCCCGAACTTGCCGCCCAGCTGAAAGAGGCCATACGCATTCAGGCTGAGCAGCGTCTGATCCAGCAGCAGCAGAAGATACTCGAGCACCAGCCGTTTGTGCAGGACGGACAGGTTTGGCCACTCGCCTCACTAATCAGCTTTCATTGTTAATAATTTTCGCTTTTTTTCTCCTAGCCGCTGTATCCGCTCAACTATGATCCGTTTTATAGTCCCATACTGCTGAAAATCGATAAAATCGTGGAACAACTGGGCGTGAAAAACGACCTGTGCAAGGAGCGCATTGTGTGCAGCATGTACAAGGATCCAGCCACCTATAGTCCGCACAGCAATTTCGTTTCCGCTGAGCTCAGTCGGTAAGTTTTACGATGGCCAAATGTGGGGACAATGTAATGCGTTTTATTGCCATTTTATTGCCGTTTTAGTTCTGCGTAAAGTTTTTGTCCCATTTTGTGCTCTAATTGTTACTTGAACATTTATGCAGGCATCGCAAATTGTAATGTCAGGCAGTCAAAAGGCGCCACCCCATGCTCCATTCATGTTTGAGATCGTTTAGTTCAATGCGTTTGCACTCTGCAGTGAAAACTCTAAAAAATACTCCCTCTTCCAAGGTCCCCCTTCATCACTTTTCAATTAATAGCCAAGAGCGTGAAAAGAAAGCGTGGCTCTGAGCTCTGAGCTCCGAGCTCCGAGCGCTCCAAACTCTCTTTCTGAGTGCAGTTTGTCACATAGCAAGTTCGTTGCTGTCTTTTCTCGTCTTCTAATTGAACTGCACATTGCACATGGCCAGCCAAGCGGAACTGCCTGCCACATGCCTCAAGCGGCAACAAAGCGGCGTGGCGTGGCGTGCCATCAGGGCGTTCCGCCCACATGCCACTAGCCCAGTCAACGACTGACACACGGCAATGGGTCATTCCCGAGTCGCTCGAGCATGCCACGGGCCAGATAAATTCGTACTGTTTTGCCGGTTTTCCTTATCGCTCACAACAATGAATACCAAAATTGTCATCATTTTGCATGGCTCCCCTAGATAAGTTTTTTGACGAAATTGTGACTGACAGCGACGCCAGGAGATGTGATCTAGGGCCCGGGTCCAGACATTGGATGATTTATGAGTCTGTGTGTCCATGACAAGTCATTAATTGAGTGCCCCAAGTGTGCTTAATTGCCTTATCAGGGCTCGACAACAGACAATGGCAACGGGCACAGCCTTGGGCTCAGGTTTTTAGCCATTCTAGTTGAAAATTAATTAAAATAAATTGACTTCATGAAAGGCCACGCAACTCTAGTTTAAAGTGTCCTAACAGTCCGGCTGATTGGCCCTTTGGCGTTGTCAGGTCTCCGGTCTTATCATAATAAAGCAATCATAATTAATTGAAAATGTCCAATGATATTCGATTCGATTCGAATGGAAGTTTGATTGAACCTTTAGAATGGATAGCCTAGAACCGCCCGAAGGCAAGTGCTGTAAAATTTAATTGACTGTATTTCTTTCTCATTTTATTGAAATTTATGCTTCTAACAAGCAAAACTACTGAAAAAGTAATTAAAATTTTCTACTTTTAACGAGGGAAACGGGTAAAAAGGTCGGGAAAAAGTTTCCTACAAATAGTAAAATGCTTGCAAAAAATCCTTCATATGAATATGAAATGTAATTTTAATGAAAACTTGGGGCAGGGAGGCGACAAAAAATAGTTACATTAAAAGTCTGTCAGCATATGCGTCCCGCATCAGGTCACGTCGTCCGCGTTCCCTTTCAACTCCGGAGCAGTCCCTGAATGGGATATCAGTCTGGCCTTGACTTAGGTACTCCAAAACCCACTCTGCACGACCCACTAGTCACATGAAATCCATTAGCAGAACCGAGGCCAGAGAATCCTACTGAATTAAGTACTGACAGCGCGCCTACAACTCAGGTCTGAATAGTTGAGTGGGGGGCGTTGATGTAGGAGCAATAGAAGTGGGAGTAGCTACGCCGCGGTGCGCCGGTGCTGTCTGGCACACAAAAGACCCAGAGGAACGAGACGAGTGAGCCGAAGAAGCAATTAAAGCTGCTTTCGCTGAACCGATGTGTGCCGAAAACTTTAGGGCGATGTTCACAAGTGCCAAAGTTAATTAGCTAACTTCCTGGCAGCTAACACAAAAACGTTCGTTCGTAGATCTTGGCCTGCAGCTAGGACTGTAGGACTGTAAAAGCATCCGGCTTGGGAGCATCTGCTCAAAGCACAACAAAAAAAAACGAAAAATTAATTAAACAGGCGAAAAGTTTTTTGGCAAAGAAGTTTATCATTTGTGTCTGTTGCAGCGATACCAGCGAGCTGGAGCCCGTAACGCATGCGAATGAGGCCGTACGTCGCTTCTATCGGCTCATCCAGGCGGCGCGAGATGGCCAGGATCAAAAGGATTGCCAGAGTCTCTATCCACAGTGCACAATGCCGGCAAAGTGAGGCCAAGGCGTGAGGCGGAACGAGTACCAGTACGAGCAACTTTGAAGTCAAATTTTCCTTGTTAAAATGAACTGTAAATAGGATAATAACGATAGTACCTAAGCATAATTTATTGTAATTTGTTAAACTATTATTTATTTATTTATTTATTGTAGAGTAAGCGTAAGGGGTTGACCCGTGCTTCATTAATATTCATTCTGATTTTGTTGCAGTTTTTCAACCAATAATATATTGAAACTTACTGCGGCTTTTGCGGTTCGTACACTCCTTAAATTCCTCACACACGAGTTGTCTCGTACATATGTAAAATTCACTAAAAAAACAATTCACTAAAATACGAAATAATGAAATCAGAATATTTATTAATTGCCGGCCAGACAGACCCGGCTGCAAATTCAATTAGTCAATATGAAAAATTGTTATTAGAGAAACCCAAAATGAAAAAATAAATTGAAATTGTGTTAAATGTCATGTAAAGTAAAATTCATTTTTGGATCACAGCACAGGGTGATGCCAATCCAATCGTAATGTTGGCAATTCCATAGAACTCTGCTTCAATTTACAGGTTAATAAAATTCGCAGGAAGAGTGCACTTATCCACAGAGACGAAACCGACCAATGCCATGCCCTAAGAATCATCTTTAAATATACATAATATTTTCAAGATGATTTCTTCGTATAAAAGTCTATTATATAAGCAAATGATTGTGATACCACCATATGGTAAATTTCAAATAAATAAATATTTTACCACTCCTGGGCTTATCAATTTTGCTAAATCAATAATCTTTATCCAAGACAATCTTCATGAAATTTGTTTACTACTAGTATGCCATTCCCATAAGAGCACTATGGGCAAAAATGGGATCATGTTAGCATTTATTATACATAAGTACATATGTATTACATATTATGTATGTATTAATAAAAATAAAGTTACATTTTTAAGTTTTACTTTCCATAAATTTTAAATTTATTCCTTTAATTGATTTTTAAAAATGTTTAAAAGTATTATCAAAGCGTTTTGAACTCTAATATGTACTCAGAACATAGACCAGTTTATAAAATTCTAAACAACAACAAAATTGTATTTATTCCAAAAAAAAAGGGATTTTTTGCCCATAGTACAGTGGCGCAATGAGCCGACACGCTGAGAAATCACTCACACAGACCAGCAGCTTCAATAATAATACATTTTCTTTGGATGAATCAAAGCGCCAGGGCACAGCAGGAATGACGTCCCAAAATGTCTTCGCCTAATTGTCGGCTGGCAAACAGTCGAATCCACATGGTTCCCCACTCATTTCCATAAATATATTTATTAGGTAGCATATTGCCATTCGCGGGGACGGGAAGGCTTTGATGTCCCTAGGGGAATGTCGAGCAAGCAGTGCGCGAACTCATCTGAAAGCTCATCTGAAATTAATATTTATGTAAATGCCAAGCGCAATTAACACGCAAATGGCAATGCTTTCACTTTTTTCCAACATACAAAAATTCCTTGTTGCCCAAAGAAAAGTAGATAAATAAAAAATCCAAATTACAACAAAGAGCGGAAGCATTAAGACTCGTGGGCCCTATGTCTCGGCCCAGCCAACTGCACTGACATCAAAACACCGATTGCCAAATTGGCAGCTCATTAAATACCAAAGCAGGCAAAGCACTTCAAGACATACTTCAGTTCCCTCTACGCTCAGCTCCGATATCACACAATTAGGCTCGGCTTCTGTCTTGGCCCACGAATATTTTTCCGCTATTTGAAACCAAGGAAATATATTTTCACGCCAACTGAAGTGACACCCACACACTCTGGATAATTAAGGTCTATACTAAATAGTATCGATTACTCACTGGCCAGTGTCAGGGCTCAAGGACAAGTGCTGCTTGAGACAGAACTTGAAAGAGATTCGATCCCCTTTCCGTAGACATCGTTTCTAGCTAATCGAATACTTACATCCCCAACCCAAGGCCAATCAGAGAATTCGGCAAAGAATAGTACCAATGTCCCATTCATTTGAGACGTTTATTTTAAGAAATAATTTATCGGTCTTTCTATTTATGTATTTGCTTAATTTATTCCACAAGAAAATTATTGCATTGGACAACTTTTTTCAAATTACGCCAATGATGCTGATTCACAGTTAAAGATTGACATAAAGGAACATAAAAATTCAAATTGGGTTTAAATTACGCATGGGATGTTCTTAATATTAAAGGAAATACATAGGGTCCATCTAATACCATTATTGGAAGAAACATTGAAGTATTGCTTGAAAACAAATCAGCAGTTTTATTCAACAGTGGCAACATCATAGTGGTACCGCTATCGTCCGCGGATGTTAATATCCTGCTAAGGGAACTACGGCATAAAATTTGTATGGTATCTAAAAATGGACCTCTCCGAAATCCGACTTTTACGAATATCCAAACGGATGCCAGATAACCGGTAGACCGACCAGAGCAAAAAGAATAAATAACATAGCTAACAGAAACCACAAAATAAGCGGAAAAAGGTATTCAAATTAGTATCGGTCTGTCTCTTCTAGCGACTATAAAAACTGTACAATATCAGCTATAAATATGTATACGCACATAAGGAGAAAGTTAATATAAGAGAAAGAAAGCCAGAACATTGTGGGGTCAATATCAAATTCTGAAAAGAAAAATTTTAGTAAAGAATATAGCAGTATAATATTTCAAGTCCATGACATCCTCCATACAATCGAAAAAGTACTTTAAGCCTGAATGTACTTTTTTTTTGAGGAACGGAACTTTTAATACCCTTGCAGCTATATTATAAATAGCCATTCCAAAGTAAAAAGAGTTTGATTAAAACACTCTACGTCTCGTTGCTATGCCCGTACTATGCTTTAGTACAAAGAGCATTAAAGCCATTATAGATTCTGAGCTAGAACAATTTGTAATTTTTTCCCCTCGTAATATTAATTGATGCTAGAACTCTGGTAGACTATTGCCTTAGTAGACCTTACCGATAAAGGCTAAATCTTATTGACCCACCTTCTTGGGATGGCTGATGCCTAAACACTCCTGGGGCCAGATTTTATTTCTTTTTTCGTACGAATATAACGTAACGCCAGGATGAAATTACCATATCTAATGGTATACAAAAATTATATGTTGCTGGGGACTGCAATTCCGCTGTTCGGTACGAGTACTCGTATCCCAGAAACTACTTATTCGAGTTCCCTGCCAAAAAAAATACCACAGCGTGTCTTCGTCTTGTATTTGAATTGAGTTGCGAGGCACGCACCGGACTGCTGGCCACTTGGTTTTACGAGCTTCGTCCGCTATAGCAATGGTGACAGGGGCAGCCCATCGATATAGAAGCCATCAAATAACTTTCAATTATGTGCGGCATATTATGGCGGGGGTGTTATGATGGAAACCTCTTTGATGAATCCCTCAACAAAGCAAAGAGACTTGCGTGCCCATAAAATGTTGAGTTGACCCAGTACCATTTCTGGGTGTGCATTTATAGAACCCCAAAACCGCCTCGGAGTACTCCTTCTTCGAGTGCTGCGCCCTATAGGTGAAACTCTGGTCGGACGGGGGGATAACTTGCGCTTTCCATGGCTTTGACAACAAAGCAAAATGGTCGCTAAAGCTCAAGCCCAAAGAAGAGCTCGCGCGTACTCTCTGTATACGCATTTCAATTAACAAAGTACCCGACGTATAAAAACCATGCGGTGCCCAGGCGACATTTGCATAACCCATTGAGTCGCCAACGCGTGCAGACTTCTACTACTACGAGCTGAGAGTTCGGATTCACGCGGATTACTTCAGGTGAAAGCGAAAAGGATGAAGAGCTACGCTTTCTTAATCGCCGCTGTGACGGCGCTGTCCGCCGCCGCCCAGGGAGCGACCACCCAAACCGAAGTGCCACGGACGCCGCAGTCTGCCGCCCAGCTGGCTCTGGACATGTACCACGGCTGCCTCAAGGACCTGAGCGTGTCTTGTGTGCGTCCCAAGGCGATGCGGTGGTTCAATATAGCTTTGCAGCAGCCGGAAGTCAGACTAACTGACCGTCTGTCGATTGTCCGCACCACGGAAAAGTCGGAATCGACCTCATCCCGCTCTCTCAATGCCGAAGAGCAAATGTTCGATGACATCGATGGCTATCTGGGCAGTCATGCCTTGAGAATCCAAGCACCAGAGTACTTCCGTAGCTCCGAAGCCCGTGCGTTGGTGCCCGTCTTTCTGCTGCAGAATGCCCTCACTCAGGGCGGAGTAGTGCCTCTGGCAGCCGCCAACGAGGGTGAGTCGTAAATCCTGATGAAATATCAATTGGGTAGGAAAACTTTACTCTTTCGTCTGTGTTTAGGTCGTGGTATGATCCGCAAGGCCATATTGCCTTTCCTACTCGGTCTGAAGCTGAAGACAACTGTTTTGGTGCCCCTGGCCCTGGGTCTGATTGCTTTGAAGACGTGGAAGGCGATGACTTTGGGTCTACTCTCGTTGGTGTTGTCCGGTGCTTTGGTTATATTCAAGATTGCCAAGCCCAAGATCGTCAACTACGAGGTGGTGCACTATCCAAACCACCACCATGTCGAACATGTGGTTCCCCACCACATTGAGCATGTGGTACCACACCATATCGAACATGTGGTTCCACATCACATTGAGCACATTGTACCCCATCACATTGACCATCATCTGGATCACCATATCGACCATCATGTGGATCTCCCTGTGGAGCATATCGAGCACTTGGAGCATCCGTCGCCCGCTTGGGACCCGCACGCTTGGGCCCGCTCCTCTCAGGAGCCACAGGATGCTCAGGACCTTGCCTACGCGGGTCAGAAATAATACTGAAAGATCCCGAAACCCGAAATTCGAATTCATAATTATTTATTTGCTCTAATTTAAGTAGTTGAAACGCGAGGGGAGCTTGGCGTTTGGTTTAATTTATTTATTTATTGAAAAATGTACAAAACCAAGCTAAAAAAAAGGAAGAAAGCCCAAGGCCAAGTAATTTTGCTCTTTTATCCTTTTGTGTAAATACTTCTGCAATAAAAACCATGCGAAAATGATGTGCCTAATTGAAGACTTTCCAAGGGCTGAAGTCTCTACGTTTTTTCCGGTATAATTACCCCGAAAACTTTCTAATGCCCCTAAACGGGGCTTGGGTCTGACCGTAGCAGTAAAAAGAATTTTAAATTCTAGCACAGCACATGAATGGAGGAGCAACAGCTTTTCGTTTTCCCAGGTAAAATGTAAAAACTTCTACCTGTTTTCATGTAAAATTCAAATGCTTTTGTGAGTCGGAGCGAAAAAATCACATTGTTGAAAGCAGCGCCCAAAGTGCCCCTCACTGCAACGAATACATTTTCTATGAAGTGGAATGTATCCTCTTCAGTACGGGATACCCTGTGCCCCTGTTTGTGTTGATTCATTGCAGGGGGCATTACTTTTAAAGATAAAATGCATTTGATCTTGTAAGACCCTATAGAAACAAATTGAAAAAGGTTTCCCAGGATAGTGGCCATCATAGTTCCCGCAGCGAAAATTATTAGCCTACTTTTAGGGGCGTTCGTGCAACACGAAGGAAGACTCTTCCCACCATAGGGGGTACAAAGTTTTCGAATTGCCCCAATAATATGTGAACTTATTGCATTCATTCCTTCTGCACACGGAAGAGAAAATCGATGGTTCATCCACGGATAACCACACGCTCCACCAGATAGACGCAGGTGTGTGCTGGAAAGTAGCCATCGCCGCAGTCCCAGCCACACCGACGACAGCACAGCGTGCAACAATGCAAAATGGCGTTGGCGCCAGCAACAAAAGACAGGTAATGGAAACAATACAAAAGCAACAAAAGCAACAGCAACAGCATTGAGCGACCACACTTCATTTATATTTAACGGCATGCACTTGGCCGCCATCGCATGGCCGTTTCTACGCAACAATTTCGAATATGAAAAAGTTTTCCAATTTCATTGGCACCACACCGGACCATGGGACGTCCAGTACGAGTAGCTTGAAAAGAAATGCGACCGGAATGGCAAATTGTCCAGCAATTGAAACCGGTGAAACTTTTTACCGAAAGAAATAATCAAAAAAAAAAAGGAGAAGACAGAAAAGAAGCACGAAAAAGTAAAAAAAAAATCGAAAAACACACTCGCCCGCTATCAAAATCAATTTTCATGGCGAACCGCGCGTAATCAATATACGGGATTCATAATTTACAAGTTGCACGGCGAAACGAAAAAGTTCGACATTCAGTGCATGACTTAACCTGCAGGGTTTGGCAAGAGCAAAGGGGGATGGGATGAGCACTTGTGTCACTTTCGCTTTCGATGGCGAAAAGTACTTTCTATTTCATTGGCATGTAAATGGCAGGCAGCCCTTGTCCCTTGTTTTGCATATTCTTTTCCCGATTTTTATTAAGATATGTTTGCCGTAATTAGCTGTCGCAATTTGACGTGTGCTTACTGTATACAATTATGTGATGGGATATTTTTAATTACTTGTTTGTAATGAGCATTGAACGGTTTATGAACTTGGGGAAATGATATCCGCTTACTTACACTCAAAGAAAAATGGTAGTAAAAGAAAAACGCCCATATTTTGATTATATATTTGGTTTTTAAATACAAACAGAATGAGATTAAATAGAATTTACTTCGGTCTAAACATAAATGTATCAAGAAGTATAACACGGCCCAAATTTAATTTAAATATAAAACACTTTAAAATATTTATAATATTATAAACTTCCATGAAATATATTTAATCTTAATATCAAAATATTTCATTGAAATATGAAATATAATTAAATCAATGTTTTTATTTTCATTTTACAATTTCCACTCTTGGTGGAAATCTTTTGGTACAAATATTTAAATCCAAGTTAAAATATGAAAATTTCAGGCTTTTTCTATGGGTTTAATAGCCAATTAAAACGTGTTCATGGAATGCTAATTGCCAATCAAACTTTTTACTTCTATAGTTTCAAAGTGATTCAAGAGTCACTTGACCATTTATAATTATGAAAGTTAGGAAAGAAAATATTCTCTTTTTTATTTTCCGCATTGTCTTGTTTTTCAAGTATTTATTTTATTACTTCAATTATGTTAGATTTTGTATGCAAGAAAAGGGGCTTTCAGCTTAACATTTTTGCAATTTAATTTTAATCGGGTGAAACGTTGTTCGGAAATTACTTTGTTCATCGAAGCTCATATCTAATTTCCAAGAACAAGAACTCACAGGTACAATGGAGAATCGAGATTTAATCAGTTAATGGCCAGAGTGTGGCTTCCTTAATGTTTCTTCAGAGCAAACTGTTGAATGAAACGAAGGCATTATTCCCCCCAGCCACCGGCTTAGAAAATACTCCAATGTGGCCGGGCCGGCACGCGTTTGAGATATAGTCACATTAAGTATACGACACGTGGTACAGTACCCAAAGGCACGCACTCACACACCCGCAACAGCAGTGCAATGCCGGAGCGCTTCGGCTCTTTCAGTATTTGCTTCATTCATGTCTTTTTCGAGCATTTCTTTTGAATCAGCATTCGCTGGGGCGACAGCGACGAAGACGAAGACAACAACGAAGACACTGCGACGTCGACACTTGCGACACTCGGGAAGGTGGGGGCAGCGAAAGACGCCGGCCGCAGAGGCTAAAACATTGGGAGTATAAAAATCGTGAACAATAGAAAAACGATTATTAAACGCAATTGTGCCAGCATTGAGGCAACAGCGGCAACAGAGCGAAAAAAACAGTTAACAAAATGGCTAAACTGCTCCTTGTGATTTTCGGTGTGGCAGCCCTGGTGGCTGTCGGCCAGGCGGCGGCAGGTGCCTCGACACAGCAGCTGCCGCTGCAGCGGCTGATTGCCGAGGAGCAGAGCAAATGCGCCAGTGGCCAAGATTCGATGGCCTGCATCAAAGAGCGTGCCATGCGCTTTGTGGACAGCGTGATGAGTAAAGACAGCTACACGGTAAGAAATTATTTAACATTGATTTAAATATTTCGTCTACCAAATGCAGCTGCTTAATCTTTCGACGCATTTAGCTCTCCAACCTGGAGGTACGCTCCAATGGCCAGAAGATGAGCCCGATCAACGATGCCCGTGCCCGTGCCAGCAGTGCCGATGGCTTCATGGATGCCCTCGAGAACTATATCCAGGGCCATGATGTCAGTATGAACTTGCCCATGGCCGATGCCAAGATCACCGTCTCGGCTCGCAATCTGGCCAACGACGAGCTTAGCTTGAATCTGCAGCTAAACGGCGATGATGATGATAGTGCTGTTGATGGTGAAGCCAGGGGTAAGAAGGGCAACATCTTCAAGAAGGGTGGGTTGATTTCTGCATGCTTTTGGCAATATTGGAACTATCTTGTGGGCTACGTTTACTAACCTATACGAATGATCTCCCTGATCATGATCCGTTTGCAGGCAAGAAGCACCGTCTCCGCAAGCTGGCCATGCCCATTCTGGTTCTCATCCTGCTGAAGGCCATCACCGTCATACCAATGGCCATTGGTATCCTCAAGATAAAGGCGTTCAACGCTCTAGCCCTGGGCTTCTTCTCTTTCCTAGTCTCGGTTGGTTTGGCCATTTTCCAATTGTGCAAAAAGGTAAGCCAGCCTCGATACTAAAACGCACCTCTAATTGTCTTCTAGGCATTCGCTGGCTGTGGTAATTAGAGAGAGCGTTAGAGAGTTTTGCTTTGGTTGCGTGAGTGAGTTGTGGCGACGATTCAAGAGAAGAGTCAAACATTATTGCAATTAGGATTAGGTGTCCATAAGTACTCGTACAATATGCATGTATGTATAAGAACCCCCACACTGTCTAGAGTCTAGAGAGGGCACACGCAGGGTAAGTCCAGTCAGAATCCTCGCCCACAACCCGCTCCCGCATCCCCAACCACACCGAAACGAAACAAAACTGACACTCAACCAACTACTTCCCGAACCAACATGTGCATTTAATAGATTGTTTTTTTTGCCCATCCTCGGGGGAAGCATGTTTTAAAATTACACTTTTGCTCTTTTTGCCCCAACAGATTGCCCATGATCATCATCACACCGCCCACATCACCGCCCACGGCCCCTGGGATGGTCGTACATTTGGCTCCGTTGCCGTCCCTGCCCCAGTTGTGGAGCAGCCCCAGCAGTTGGCCCAGGAAATGGCCTACAAGGGTTATGTCTAAGCCGCAAAAACCAGAGAGCGGAGCGGAACATTAAGGGCCATAAAAAGTGGGCAGCACAAGAGCGCAAAATGATTGTTAATTGTTAGAAGTTTTTTGAGGCTTTTGTTCCTGACACTTCCCCAGTCCTTTCGACTGGTATCCCTTTTATCCTCCTGCTCTGCTGTCCCTTTTCTTTAGACTTTACATATAATATTTATTAACTATTTATTGAAAACAAGAGAATAAGAAAAGAGAGAAGGCAGAAAACCAAAATAAAGTAGCAGAATAAAATGCCTTGAACATGCTAAGCTTTGATTTAATTTACTGAAAACACCGGTGGGCCGTAGGTCAGCCATAATCCTTAATCTTTAAGCCGAAGCCTTGGGCAATCGACAGACTTCGAACTTTACGAGCCCCAGCCGGCAGGACAGGGTCTAATTAACGTGTTCCGCCCCGTCAGTACGCCTCCGGTGGGAGTCTCCGTCTCCGGCTCTCGACCAATTTCACTTGGCATACAATATTTATAGGCCAATGCGGCGGGCACAGCAATTGCGTCCTAATTAGCCAAATTTAATCCACATCCCACGGCAGCCGGCCCTCAGTAGAAAATATAATTAAGCATTCCACTCAAGCCTGGGGCTTGGGGCCCGGCTTTGGCGATCGATTAAATTGATCCATCCACTGAATATAATTTAAAAATTTAAATTTCTTATTTTCACTTGCGCGAAAGTTGACAGCCGGCAACGCCACCGCCACCTGAGAGTGAAAGTCTTTACATATTCTTGCCCCAGGAAAACCCACAGATCAGGGACATTTCCAAACAACATTGAATGCCGGTCACCGAAGCATGTTTGCTCACAGCCATAAATCTTTCATTCGTCGCACAAATAGAAAAGGAAAAATCTCAAAATAAATTCCTGCCAGCTCCGATTGCGCTCAACTGCACAACGTAGGTCTTCTAAACAGGAATTCGAATTCGGGGAAAAGTGTGGAGAGCAGAAGCGACTGGAGAGCACGACTAGGACATACCCAGGACAGTATATTGAGGCATTTTTTTTTAAATTTCAGTTGGAACTGCATAGGATTTGATATGACATATTTTATGAAATTTCTTAATGATTAAATTGAGGGAAAAAGTCCTGTAATTGTAATTTATACCTTTAGATTTAAAAATGTATACCAATAGATTTGACTCGTGAGAGGAATTTGTAAAAAAATAAACAACGTGTTTCACTTGTATTTTGAAATGAATACGAAAATATTTGATCAAAAATAGCTTTCATATTTCAAGTAATTTATTTCATATTAAAAATAAATAATTTTCATATTTCAAATTAATATATTATGTATTTAAATAAAAAAAGATTATCATATTTAGATTAAATATTTTTCCTACTAATTTAATATATTAGTGTTTAATTCATTTTAATTTAATTATTTAAATTAAAGTAAGCGTGAGTTTCTTTTTACTATGGCATTTTAATTTTTTTTTTTTAGTGTACAGAGAAAACATATGGTTCACCGTACAAACGTTTCAATTTTCCCAGCTACTTACCTTAATTTATTGACCTTAATCTTTCAGTCACTTTCGTACTCTTCGCACTGACAAAAAGGTAGATACGAGTATACCCCAACACCTTCTGGGTAGGATAATCTACATACATTTCAGAGAGCTCGAATTTAATTTGAAAGGCAATGCTGGCGAATGGTCAAGTATCCATTTTTCATGTTCCATGCTACATCGCGGCTACCATCTAGAACCCAATAAAGTGTGAAACGGCTGAATCGATGAATTTTCGGCCAGTGGCCCCTCGCTGTTCTGTTTGCAATTTTCACAGATTTTAAGCCAATTTATCAGGCGACTGCACAGTGCGGGGGGCTACCGCTCCCTCTGCGGCGGACAGCTGGACAGCTGGCGCCACTTTCATAATCGTTTGGCATGCATGAGGACGCTGTTTTGGGCAACACACACCACACGACTAACACAACATAATATGCAGCCTGGCCTGGCCAAGACGCGGGCATATGGAAATTTATCGAGCGACATAAAGTTGTCGGCTCTTTGGTTTGGCACGAACCAAGCAAACGTGGGGCTTTGCACCCCACCAATTTGTTTTGTCGTGGGGATAACAGTAGTGATACACATAAAAATTAGACACGACACCTATTGCATTATTTAAAATGACAATTAGATAACACTTATGAGGATGCAATGATTTTGGCAACCAGCCGGAAAGATGTTTGATTTGATTGTGCCACTCTGAGAGAAGTTTGCCAAAGTTTTTACCAATTTTTGCCAATAACACGGCAATAGATAACCAATATTAGTTTAACTAATGTTTTCAATGCGTCTTTATGATTTTTATGATCAATACCTCTTTCGTTACTTACAGAGCACTTTGTTTCCAATATTGCCATACCACAATCATTGCTTAGTAGAATATAAAATTAGGTTGATTTTCTACAAAATGTTTGCCTTTGACCATCTTTGAACAATTTTAATGATTAGTAGCCACTGGAGAACTTAAGTCTTGAAATAACACTCTTGAACCATAACATACAAAAAAATATATAAAAATTGCACGGATGGTAAACAACTTCAACTCGGTATGTCTTCAGGTACAGCCATTGTATTGACCCGAATAAAAACTGCAATCAAAGTATGTGGAGGTATCTAGTATTTAAGTATCTGGGCCCAAACCCTAAGTTTTGTCTCATGCAAAGTACAGAGCCGGTCAACTGAATAAGTTCAACAATTTTCAAAAGTAAAACCAACTTACCGATTTATATGAATTGTTAATATAGCAAGAATGTTTGTGGTTTCCAGGACACGTTTTTAAAGGCTAGCTCAACTGAATAGGTTCAAGTGTATTATTGCATTTAAAAGTTAATTTAACATTAAAGCTCAATGTATTCCCAACCATCCCGCCCTTAAATCTTTCAATTCTAAAGCGTAAATTAATTGAGGAACGTACAATCACGAAGTGAGTGCAGTTTCATTTAGCCATTTGTTTTTGTCCGTCTAGAAAAGTCAGCTACTAATTTTCTAGTGAGATTGATCCATTCGGGGACCACTTCTAGACGGTTGACAATGTGCATCCAAATGCACAATGACTCCGTAGATGAACACCAATTATGAAGTTATGATCATCATAGCAAAATCATTGGTCCAATTACTAAATAATTAATATTCAAGAGAAGAGAATGTAGGCCATGGTTCCCAGAAATTCGACCCAAATTAGCCAAGAAACGTGTCTGCTGGAAATGTGTCACAAATAAAAATGAAAATCTATTTCGTAATCTAATAACAACAAAAGTATCAAATACATACGATAATTGAATCCGCTTCTGAATTCAGCAAACAGTTCCGCATACACGCTGAAACAAACAAAAAAAAGAAGTCAAATCCAATCAAAGCAATCCTACGAGGAGGCAGAGGAGTATGAATCAATACCTAAGCGTAGGTGAGTTCCGTACTGATTTCTTGTATCGAAATTTGACACAATACGTTGAAATATGTACGTGCCCAAGCCCTTCGATCTGGCTTTCATGCGGTCGGTCGCGTAAGAGTTGAGGGCCTGCATACTAATAGGAAACAAAAGTTATTTTCATCGGAGCAGCGTCAGTGTAATGCAACTTTGGCCAAAACCAAAAGGCTGTATTGAGGCGGGGGTGGGTGTCTGGCCGATATGGAAAGCGAGAAAGCGCTGAAGACATGCGTTAGTGCCGACTGGTGGGGGGAGGGCGCTCTATGGCCAGGCAGGCCCGTGGACAACCCAGATAGTATTTTTTGGTGAAAAACTTTTTGGACATTTGCTTTCCGTGGACTTGGCTAGGGTTCGGCTTCGGCCCCGTTGGCGTTCCGTCAGTCTCGTCACTCGATTTTGTTGCCGCTGTCCAAAAACCAAAAAGTGTGCGCTCCAAAATACTTGCAGCAGGTCTCTGTCTCTGCCACTGTCTGTGGCTCTCTTGCGGTGCGTTGCGAGCCCTGCCTGTGGGGAGCGGCAGTATAAAACCGTTGTCGCTCGAACAACTGTCCAACATTGTCGTCGCATCGACATCGCCGTGAACACTACGCGCTCTGGTAGTGTCAATACATATATATATATCTCTTTAAAGTGTGCCCAAGAGGAGACCCGATTCAATATAATGGCCATCCGTTTCACGTCCTTGCTCGCGGTCGGTTGTGTGCTGCTAGTGTCTGGTGCTGTGTCTGGCGCTGCCATCGAGAATGCGGTCACACCGCGCATCCACAGCTCCGACGAGCTGATCTCGACCATTGTGGATAAGTGCTTCCATGCCAATGCCATGCATTGCCTGAAGGAAAAGGTGCTGACCTATCTGGACACGATGGCTAATGTGGAGGAGGAGGTCAGTGGGCGTGCCTTCGACGACGATGTCATCGACAAAGTCATTGTGGATCGCATTGGCCGCATTCTGCACACCAACGAGATGCGTCTCCAGCTGCCAGAGACCTTCTTCGCCAGCTCCGTGATGACCTATCGTGCTGACCGCGGCTTCGACCTGGAGCTGCCAAAAGAGGAGGGTGCGTTACAGTCTACAGCCACGACACCTAGACACTCACAATGACATGTTTCTTCTGTCTCACTTAGGTCGTGCCGAGAAAAAGAACAAGGACAAGCTCTTCCTGCCCCTGCTGCTGCTCATGAAGCTGAAGCTTAAGGTGGTCATGCCCATTCTGCTGGCTCTGATCGGTCTGAAGGCCACCAAGGCTCTGATCCTGTCCAAGATCGCCATTAAGCTGGTGCTCGGCTTCCTCATCTACAATCTCATCCAGAAGTTGGGTGGCATGAAGATGAACATGGTGCCAATGCCAGCTCCGGCCACGGAATACGGTGTGCCCAGCACCACGGCCTCCTCGTACGACCCCAGCAGCTGGGAGCCAATGAACAGCGGACCCTATGCCCGCTGGGACTCGCAGAACCTGGCCTATAGCTCTTACCACCCCAGCAGCTCCTCGTCGTACTCGTCCGGCTCATCGTCGAGCTCATCCCCCAGCTCGTCCAGCTACAGCTCTTCCTCTTAAATCAGGCGCCAAGCGCTACGCCCTGCCGCTTTATATGTACATACCACATACATACCAAGGAATACCGAGGATGCCACCATCCAAGCAAATGGAGGTGGCTCCGCGAGTCAAAAACAGACCAAATGGAACGGAACATGCCTAGGCCATAATTTTAGTTGTTAACGGTTAAGCATGCGAGAGTCTTTAGCCATTCTTCGTTAGCCATCCACTCCCCTACTCCCACTTAGCCTCTGCAATTTCTACCCTATTCACTTTGCCCCTTCTTCTTCTGTTCGCAATTTCTCCATTAGTTCTCGATCGTCACCAATCGACCAAAAATCAACAACTACTGAATTGAAATATTATTTATTTAATTTATTAAAATGCAAAAATTGAAAACATTTATCTAAATTGATGATTATTTAAAAGATTTCGTGATCACAGTAGGCGTTTTATTAGGTATTTAATCGAATTCGTGATCACTGAGGGTGTTTTTAGATTCAGTTGATTGGCATATGATGCGAGTATGCCAAGAGGAAAACTATCAATCGTCATGTAAAGCTCCACTATACGTAGATGCCCTAAACTGCAACTATTACAGAAAAAGCGATGAGAGCTGTTAAAGCAGGGCTCGTAAGTATTTTCATTTTTATAATGCAAACTTGCTGACCCGAAATCGGTACGGTATACAAAAATGGATCAAAGCATTATTGATTGTGTATATATATTTTATGGAATATTTGAAGATTTTTCATACAAAAACACTAAAATTCCGATTGAACAATGGTGGATAGTGGTAAGAAGAAGGAAAATAGTTGAAAACCTATTAGCAGACCTACTACATAGACAGACAAAAACTTCCAAAAAATGACGAGAGATTTTTTGTTATATCTTAGAAAGAAGATGTGAATATTTCTTGTGTTAGTTAGCTCTCTGTTTCAGCGGATATCGAGAATCGGATGGAGAATCAGAGGAAGATGAAGAAGAGGCCTTAGGAAAACCTTAAGAGAGGACACGAGCCCAAAAGGGTGCTTATGGCGGCTTAGAGTGAAATTTTGGGTCACATCCCGAGGCCTCAGGATCGAGGATGGGAGAGCGTTATACCACTTTGAGCTCGGAGATACTGGCGGCCATCGAAGTTTTTTATAGTATCGAATTATCGGTTCAGGCCATTGTGAAATATATGAAGAGAAATGGCCATGAAGTAACTGAAGCTGAGCTCAAGCTGAGCATCACCAAGGGCCAGTTGGAGAAGGTCTAGCGTTTTTTTAAGCTCAGGAAACCCGATAAGAATATACGAAGTCGTTGAAGAAACTGAGGGCCAAGCAGGCAGAGAACACCGACAAGAAGGAGAGCAAGGCCAAAGGCCCGATACATAGTCAGTACGGCTACATTGAGCGACAGAAAACGTGTCTGAACGTGTCGCCAGGTTCTGCTTAGCCACCGCAAATTGATTTGTTCTTTTTGGCTATAAAAATGATCCGATCTTATTCAGATTCATTTCTTATGATTGGGCGTCCTTAGTTTTCTCGTATCTTCAATATTCTGGATGCCACAGATTTTCGTCTTTTGTGGGGCCGGTAAGGGGTGGTGAGAAATTTTGAAATACACTTGGTTCGATATCACAGGTGTGTGGATACCAAATTTGGTTGCTCTAGCTCGAATAGTCTCTGAGCACTAGGCGCTCAACGGGACGGACAGACGGACGGACGGACAGACGGACAGAAATGGCTCAATCGACTCGGCTATTGATGCTAATCAAGAATATATATACTTTATGGGGTCGGAAACGTTCCTTCTGGACGTCACACATTTTCACCACAAATCTAATATACCCAATAGTCATTTTGAGTATCGGGTATAAAATAGCGTCGATGGGCGTCAGGATCTCCGAGCTCAAAGTGGTACCCTTTGGGTTCTTTAGGTTCTTCTACGATACGTTCTTCATCTGCCTCTGATTCTCCGTCATCCGGTTCAGATGAGCCGATTCGGATTTGTTTTTGGCGGACCTTTTTTTTGTTAGTTAATTGGAAGACGAAAAAGAGGAACGGACCTGTTATAAAAAATGTAATACATGTTTGCTTAAATTACAATATGTTTTCCAACGAAGCCCAAAATACGCATAAAGTAAGTTAACCCCGTTGCACCAAAGTTTGTATACCCTTTAGACAACAGGAATTTTTATCATACTAGTAATGCAAGTTTATACTGTTCGAGGATATGTTTTGAAAACAATATTGTAATTTTTTTTCACAGACGTACATACATATATGTAGGTCCATTTTTTGCACTTTTAAGTCTTATCTATGATCTCTACTAAAAAGGCTTGGAAATGGAAAACAATAAGACAAGGACGATAGACAGAACTCGATAAAAGTTCTAAACTAATTTAAATAATTATTTAATTGATAAAATAAAATTAAAAAAGTAATCAAGTAGACTGTAATATGAGACGGTTTAGTGTCACATTAAAAAATTTCAAAATGATCAAAAACAAAACACTCGAATTAGTCCACTCAATCGGCAATGCTCTGCTGAATGGTAAAGTGTATTTCAGTTTTGCATGTTGAAAAGTCGTTGGTAATTACAATAGTCTGTCTGTCAACTAAATGGGGTTCTAAGTGATTGTGGGTTTAGTGATTTAAGAAGTAGGCGGCACGCAAGTCCGTGGTCACTCAACTAATTGCTCTGAGGCACGCCAAGCACTTCCTCTACCTGGAGACTAATTAAAGGCGCTGGTCAGCCAATTGATGACAAATTAGTTAATCTGAATCAAATCGGCAGCTGTTTATAAATAAAATAAAGGTGTTTGACTGTGGGCCTCATGTGTATTTAAGTCGAAGCAATAGGAAAATTATAGTCAGTAGGAAAGCTACTTTAGAATGCTAATCCACCACTGGATTTTGCTCGGCCTGAGCTGGACACTCTGCAATGCTGATTTTTATTCAGAAACCGAAGTTGGAAAGTTCCTGAGGCACCTGGAAGTCATACCAGATGTCATTGAAGCGGGGCCGCAGGAGTTTCTCAATGTGGGTAAAACCATGAGGAGGGCACAAGAGTGTCACACAGCCTTGATTCTGGATTCCCTCCCCACTCCTCTGCTAGGTCACGTATCTGGGATTTATTCAAGCCGATCGCGGCGTGGAGCTACAGCCCATGCAAGTGCGCGATGAGCCCTATGTGGCCTGGAACGCACCCATGACAAACTATTACACGCTGCTGATGATCGACCCGGATGCACCAAGCCCCCAACAGCCCTCGGCCCGGGAGAAGTTGCACTGGATGGTGCTCAACATTCCCGGCAATCAGCTGATTATGGGTGATGTTCGCGCCGGCTATGTGGGGCCCACGCCAGCCTCGGGGAGTGGACTCCATCGCTATGTCTTTCTGCTCTACAGGCAACAGGATTACACTAAATTCGATTTTCCAAGACTGCCCAAACACATTCTTACGGGACGCAGCAAATTCAGAAGCATGCAATTTGCGAAACGCTATAAGCTCGGTTATCCGGTGGCTGGAAATGTGTTCACTGCCACCTGGAGCACCGATGTGCCAGCCCTGTACAACTCCATCTCCCGAGGCGCAAAACAGAAAATCACGCTATTAGAAACGGCAAGTTAATTTAAAGATGAAGATAAATTCGGTTATTCACTAATACACAAAACAAACGAAAGAAATTTTTAAATTAGTTGGTAAATACCCTAAAGTATCCGGGAATGGCATTAGTGGGCCTGCTCATGAGACTGACTTTGACAAGCTATTGGCAGAATACAGAATAGGGGGTTCTTAGAATAAGACATTCCAAAACAGAAGCCACATTAGACATATGTAAATATTTTGATCATAGCGTGCCTAGCCTCTTTTAGTATCTTATTTACCCAACAGAAGCAGAATATATCAAAACGTTCGAAAATGTCGAGTTCCGAAGCTGCCGAATGCTTTGCAAAGCATGAAATTGTTCCAGATGTAGTCCCCGTGGGGCCAAATAAACTACTCAAGGTAGGATCCCAACAAACGTATGACCTTTGTAACCGTCTGTAAGTCCTCATAGGTCACCTATGGAGGCGGTCTGGTCGTCGACAAGGGCGCCGAACTGACACCCACTCAGGTAAAGGCTCAGCCGAATGTGGAATGGGACGCAGAGCCGGAGGCGCTGTACACTCTCATCCTAACCGATCCGGATGCTCCAAGCCGCAAGCAGCCCAAGTTTCGTGAGTGGCATCATTGGCTCGTGGTCAACATACCCGGCACTCAGATCGCAAAAGGTGACGTGCTGAGCGAATATGTAGGCGCTGGGCCGCCCGAGGGCACGGGACTTCACCGATATGTATTCCTGCTCTTCAAGCAGAAGCAGAAGCTATCCTGCAAAGAACCACGCATACCCAAGACCAGCGGCGATAATCGAGCCAAGTTTAGCACCACCAAGTTCGTGGGCAAGTACGATCTTGGCAATCCCGTGGCCGGCAACTGCTTCCAGGCCAAGTACGATGACTATGTGCCCAAGCTGTACAAGCAACTCTCTGGCAAGAAGTAGCCATTAAATATATAGTCACCAATTGTGTATCTAATAACTATTAAAATTCGCATTGAAGCGCAACGAGTAATTAACAAAGAGCTTGTTCGTGGGATGCTTTCCCACTAAAAGCTCTGCCAGACTCGCTTTAACAGTGTGCCACCGGGTCAAACTGGTTTCAGTTGCTGTCAGACCTTGTTCGGGAGCTGATCGCCTTTTCCATATAAATCTGTTCTCAGTTTTCCAGTTCAGTTCAGAGAGATGATGCTGATTCCGATACTGTTAGCCAGCATTGTAGCGGCTGGGCACTGTTCTGCCTCCGTGGAGGAAGTCTTTGCTTCGCATAAGGTGGTGCCCGATGTCATTGCCCAGGCGCCAAACCAGTTTCTAAAGGTGGGGCAACAGAGACAAAGAAAACGTCGGCGAAACCAAAACGAATACTTAAACTATTTTAAACTTTCCGTTCAAAGGTCACATACAAACAGGGACTCGTTGCAAAGGAAGGAGTGGAGCTCACGCCCACACAAGTCAAGGATCAGCCCTTGGTCGAGTGGTCTGCCGCGTCCGGAGACTACTACACATTGATCCTCACAGATCCCGATGCACCCAGTCGTGCCGATCCAAAGTTCCGTGAGTTCAAACACTGGGTGGTGGTCAATATTCCCGGCAACGACGTGGCCAGGGGCGAGGTATTGACTGCCTACATTGGCTCCGGCCCGCCCAAGGGAACGGGCCTCCATCGCTATGTCTTCCTGCTGTACAAGCAGTCCAGCAAGCTGGACTTTAAGGAGCCGCACGTCAGCAACAAGTCTCGTCGGGACAGACCCAGTTTCAAGGCAGCAAAGTTTGCAGAGACGTATCAGCTAGGTAATCCCGTGGCCGGTAACTTCTACCAGGCGCAGTACGACGACTACGTCCCAGAGCTCCACAAGCAGCTCTCCGAGGAGTAAGAGCTTACCTCTGAAGCACACCTACATATATTTTGCACAGTGCACACATTTGGTTTAATTATAGAAAATCGCTTTTGGTTTTATTGACTTCAGTGGAAAGTATTCTATTCGTGTTTTGGGTTTTGGTGAAAGTGCAGTCTATTTACCAGCTGCTGTGGCCAGGGGATTTCGCAGCACCAGGATCACAGAGTCGCCGCGCAGAAACATTTTCGAGATGAAGCGATCTTTGTTGACGGGCTTCACCTTCTTTTTGCCCTTGCCCGTTCGCGGCAGCTCCGTCCACATCTCCTTGACGTTCTCCAGCACCATGTTGCAATGGCGGTCGAAGGCCTTCACGCGGCCCAGCAGCTTCTTGTTATTGCGGCAATTGATGAGCACTTGCGTGTTGTTCTTCACGGACTGTGTGAGCACGGACAGGGGTCCGGTGTTGAACTCCTCTTCCTCCTGGCGGGCCAGCTCCTCGGGTGTCAGCTCCGACTTCGGTTTCACAAGAGCCCTTCAAAATAATGCAAAATTATTGGACGCTACAACAATCGCAAAAGCCGGCGCACATGTCGCTGGTCGGCATGAGTCGAAGTATTCGGTTTTCATACTTTCCTGATGTTACTTACATGTTGTAGTAGCTTTAGATGTTGCTAAATACAAAAAGTAATACTTTTTCACTTGTTTTTTGTTAGTTTTTGCGGATTTTGTCGAAAAATTTGTGGAAACGCGGCTTTTTTCTTGTTGATATTATATCGATGTATCGATATGGGTTTTTTTGCCATTATTGATACGATATTTTCAGTGCGGTATTTTTGTCGATATTTTTAGAAATTTATATATTCGATATGTCGATATTTAAATTTAGCAGGTTTGATATATCGAAATAATTTGCACAGTGTGACCGCGGACATATTGATCAAATATACCACCCGACCCTCATTAACATACCAATATATACCGTCTCATTTTAAAAATATAACGTAAAAATACCGATGAAAAAACAAATCTTTCCGTAATAAAAACGTAACAAAACAGTGTTTTTATATATTTGGAATCATCCTTCCTTTTTTTTAAGTCTGATCAATATTAAACATAAATTTCCCTGCGAACAGCTCAGTCAGTGCTAGCGTTTCACGTTGTACAGTTGGTAAAAGTGATTTTGAAGGGGTTTTGCTGTGGCAAAGGCAGCTAAAACTATTAACCCATCACTCTTTTTTTCCCTTAAGCTACTACCGAAAATGTGATGGAATGGTTTCCGCTTTGCATTTTTGTGCTGGTCTCCGTTTCAAAGCTTTCAAACTAATCGGGTGGCGGCCATACATTTGTAATGTTTAAATAGGTGGAGGTCCTCCTCATTGCCCAAAAAGATTTCATCCTGCGTTCACGTTTGCTCTTGATACTGGCATTAACTGCCTTTTTGAGGACCATACTTTTATCCAATTCATGAATCAATTTTCTACAATATCCTTTTCACCGCCAAACGCCCATCGATACTATCGACTGAATCGACCATCGTCTGTTATTACATTACAGAGTGCTGTTAGACGCGCACCTGGACTGTTAACTTCAACCGCACGAGTTAGGAATTACTTTAAAAATCTGATTTGCATGGCTGCCAAGAAGCCCAAGATGACCCAAAAGGACGATGTGGCCGCAGTTACCACGTGCACATACTGGGTGCCGCGCAAGAAACGTCACTGCAAGATGGCAGCCAACAAGGAAAGCCTCTTCTGCGGCGCCCATTCCCCTGCCACTGAAGAAAGCAAAGCCGTGGGCGCGGCTGCTGAGCGGATTCCCTGTCCACTAGACCCAAAGCATACGGTATTCAAGAGAAAGCTGGCGAAACACCTGACAATCTGCAATGCCCGGGACCAGGCCAGCACGCTGCCCTACATCGTCAAGAATATAAACGCCGGCGAGGAGTTGGAAAATCCTCTGGAAGACGAAATAAACAGCAAGTTGAGACTCCATGAGCTAGAGGATACAGAGTTCTACAGCGTAATAGACAAAGTACGGGCTCTTTACGACAAACACGTTGCCAACAGCATCGAAGAGCTGCATTTGCAGCACGCCTCCCTAGAGGAGCCACTCGGCCACGAGGAGTACGGCCAGGAGTCCCGCAAGCATCTGGTGCAGGCCTCTGCTCTGTTGGGCATCCTCGAGCACGACCAGCAGTTGACCGACAGCACCAGCTTCATTGAGTTTGGCGCCGGCAAGGGCCAGCTGGCCTTCTTCCTGGCCACAGCGCTGGAAGCCCAGGGCCTGTCCCACTCGCAGGTGGTGCTTATCGATCGCATGTCGCTGCGCCACAAGAAGGACAACAAGGTGACGAACAAGGAGCTGGTGCAGCGCATTCGCGCTGACATAGGAGACCTCAAGATTTCCGAGCTGCCAGAGTTGGAGCAAACCAAACGCAATGTCGCTTTGTCTAAGCACCTGTGCGGAGCGGCCACGGATCTTACGTTGCGCTGTGTTCTGGCCCATGGAGCCGCTCCCACGGATTACATCCTTATTGCTCTCTGCTGCCATCACCGCTGCTCCTGGCGCTCTTACGTCGGCCAGACCTGGCTGCAGGCGGCCGGCCTTGGACACCGGGAGTTCGCCATCATCACCAAAATGGTTAGTTGGGCTGTCTGCGGCACGGGCCTCAGTCGGGAGCGTCGCAAGGCCATGGCGGAGGCGCATGAAGAGCTCGGCGAGCCGCCCACCCAAAGATTGACCCGAGAGCAGCGCGAACAGATCGGCTACCAGTGCAAGCGCGTCTTGGATCAAGGTCGTCTTGAGCATCTGCGAGCCAACGGCTTCGATGCGTCGCTGAAGTTCTATGTCCCGCGGGAAATCACGTTGGAAAATGTCGTGCTCATAGCCAAACCCATGAAAAGCTGACCGCAAAGGATGAGCGGCAGATATAGGAATCACTGCAAGTGCCGGACACTGGTGGCGGTGGTGTCGGCATTGGCATCAGCAACGGCATGCAATTTGACTTGTGATAAGAGCGCTCTGGTAGACTTGTGTATTACGCTTTAGTTGGATACCACTTTTAAGTTTCGTTCAGTACTTCGTGTGGTCCCACTAAAAACAAAACACACTTCAGACTAACTATAGCGGGCTAATAATGCTGATAATGACTTTAAGAGATATATAGCATATATATATATATGTATATGTAAATGAGAAAACAAAAAAAACAGCAGCACTCCTACCAAACACGAAAACAATGCGTTTAACGTTTTTCCCCCCAATGTAGATATGTATTTATTACTATTAATCTATCGCATATGTATAGCTCGGCGTCTTGTAACTGATGGAACGCCTGTTTTTACGGCAAAACCTCCAGCAAAGGAGACTTGATAAACTAATAAAGAGAATATTAGGAATACAGCCCATGCACTGGATCAATTTTGTATCGTACATTGGCTCCCATTAAAGAAAACAAATAAAATTTTATTAGCTTATAATCAAAAAAGCGTGATGAAAATTAAAAATATGCAAGAGTACGTACAACTTATTAAATCTTTGTATGGAATTAAGCAATATACAACTGCAAGCGACAAAGGCATGCGCCAATGAGCATTTACGCATCGACAATGAGTCGCCGTAATCTATTACTTGAGCTTGCTTTTGTATTTTTCTTCTTCCACATAGAAATCGGATTTCTACTTCAGCAACCGTTTCCATTTGATGGCGACTTCAGCGTAGCTCGGGCCCTGCCCATCCAGTTCCTTTGTTCCTTTGATCATGAAGATCCTGAAAGATCACTCAAATTTACTATCGAATGCATATGTATGCACCGGAAAGTGTTCAGAAAGATGTATACATGACACAGAGCGTTAGTAAACTCCAATAGTTGGCAGGGATAGGCTGTCCAGCTCTATACCGATCGTTTAGATCAGCCGCAGGGAATGACCCAATCATCGGTGCAGTGGGTTCTGGCAAGTCTAGTCCCTTCTGCGAGAGCTTAATCCGGATGCGGGCTCCATCGTATGCTTCCCAGGAGCCATAGCTCTTTACGGGCACCGTGCGACAGAACATACTCTTTGGCCTACCCATGGACAAGCATCGCACTGTGGTGAAGAAGTGCGCCCTGGAGAGGGACTCCAAGCTGCTCCTGCTCCTGAACTCCTTCGCCTATCTTATTATCGTAATTTTTCACGTTTTTAACACTTATTCATTTCTACGAGGGCAGTTATTTTCAAAAAACTTTATCGGGTTTATTTTGTATGACCATGGTTCATGGACGCTGGCCGGTCGTGATTTCCAAAAGGATCCGCTCCACGACCAGATGATTCTGGCCAACGCCGTCATGAAGGAGAAGCAGGGCTGGGAGCGTCCCGGCTACTTCTTTCCTCTCGATTCCTGAAATCAATCATCCTCAAAATCATGGAGAATCTGGCAAGAGAAGGTCGTCTGCTATTTCGAACAAATCCATACAGATTTATGGCAATAGTCGTGGGAGTGTCTGAGATGGATACTCCCAAACCGGATGGAGTCAACCCTGGATAGGCGCCTATCCATACAAATCGGTCCTCTGCAGGAGGTGTTATTCAGGCAGGCTCCGTTTTACTTTTGCGGATTACGTTTTCAGATGTTTTCGTTTTAAGGCTCGCTTTTACATATTTTTGCTGTTTGCACCAAAACGAAAATTGTTGTTGCCCTGACTAATTTTTTCCAAGCCAAATTTGAGGTTGGGTTAAAATAAAATTATTTATAAAGAAAGCAATAGTTAAATTACCCTGATATAGGTGTCAAGTTTATGTGAATGCATCAATTAGTCATCTATTTATTTCCTTTTGCAATTAAGGTTCGTTTCGTTGCATAAAAGGCAGTTTACTTTTCATTTCGGTTGAAAAAGAATAAATCTTGCGGAATGTGAAAACGGGAGCCCCAGTTTATGTGTATTCAAAAGAAAATCGGACAACTTTTGTCCCGCAACATGGGTAACATTCTGCATACCCTAAGGAAAAGTATATTTTATAATCAAAATCAAACAGTATCTTAATATTAAATTAATGAAATAGGGTATCCTAAATGGCCGTCTTCAATTACGACTGTTTTTTGTTGACCTTTTTTGTTAAAGCCGTGTTTTAGTCGAAAATAGCCCATTCAAATAGAAAATAGGTTCATTAATTGGATAAAATTATGTGGGCAGGGCTGAGATCTATCTAGCTAGTAATATTCGACGGAATATCAAAAACGTGAATATGAATAATATAACTTGAATTCGTCAGAATATTTACGATATATTTTTTAAATCAGATGGTATATTTTGGTATATCTCTGAGGTCGGTCACACTGGACATCAGCTGTTGGTGACTCAGAAAAAAATATTGCTGGCAAAAATATTTATCGCGTTGATTTGAGGAGCAAACATTTAGAAATACTGTTCAAAATGGCACACAAAATGAAGGCCATCAAGTGCCCCACAGACGAGCTGTCGCTGACCAACAAGGCCATCGTAAACATCAACGATTTCACCGAGGAAGTAAAGTCAGTCTCCCCTACTTTTTCGATATGACGCCAGCGCTGCGCTACGTGGGCGTCTCTAGGCAGAACAACAACTAATTGCATTGTTTCGCCATTGACAGATATGTGGATATCTCGCCGGGACCCGGACAGCACTACATTTTCGCTCTGGAGAAGATCGCGGAGCTGCCACGTGATCATGTGGGCTTCTCGCTGGTCCA